CATAAGGTGCTTAAGCACCATGAGTGCCTCTCCCATAGCAGCGTTGCTGTAACTCATAAAGAGTCCCTTGCATGATGTCTCCATTTCTCTGCTCAGCCCGGGGCTGAGCAGGTACCTGGAGTAGGTTCCAGGCAGGGGTTTCCCCACAGGCTCCTGCCAGGTTGCACTCTAGGTAGGTGATCGTCACACACATAACCACTCAGGATTGGCATCTGTCCCGGGCAGAGGTGAGGGCCAGGCCCAGACTTCAGAAATGAATACTACCCATGAAAATAAATGTGTCTGCAATCCCACGATGATGGTGGACCATACGGACAGAGGGTTTTCCATCTCCACAGTGCTGGGTATGTTTCTGGACATCTCTCAAAACAGCTGGTGGGTCAAAGCTCCTTCTGGATTTGTCCTCCGCCAGCCCGAGGGCCCAGGGGAAGTGGCCTCGCGTCAGGAAGACTCCTTGAGTGGTCACCCCTGTGCCACCTGGCTAGACCTGCTTTCTGGGAGGAGCAGCCAGCCTGTTTGCCTAGAGGGTGTGATCACCATTACTCTGCTCCTCTGGTGTGGGGTTGTAGTTCAAAGGCTCGAGTAATGCTTGCCTGGTTGCCCAGTGAGTGTGAGGGAGGGAGGGAATGGCAGAGGGAAGGTTAAGCTGCTTCTCACCATCTATTTCTCAGCATCTCCGCCCTTTTCTCTTTCCTGCTTTCTCCCACAGCCACCTATGAACAGGTGCACACTCTGCCATACTTTTGGATCCTTGTGGTCATGATGTGTAGAGCTTGTCCCCAGGGACACTACTGCTCTCCACCCGCCGCTGTGTTGTGTCAGAACCAAAAGGGCCACAAATAGGCCACCCCCCGGGTGACCCAGACTAGCAGAGCTTAGCAGGGCTCTTGGGTGGGGAGTCTGGAGGGGTGGTGGAGGCCCAGAGGTGCCCAGGTGGGGTGAGCGGGGGCGGGGGGGTGAGCAACCCCCGCACGCGGTGCCTTTGCCTAAATTGCGCACAGATTAGGGGAGACGAGTCGGGGCAGGTCGAGTCCTCTCATGCCCCAGCAAGGTAGGCAGCGGCCTTGGGCCAAGTAGGAGAAAAGGTGGGGGGGAGGACATGGTCATGTTTGGGAAGGTGGGAGAGTAATTTTCATTGCGAGGAGTTTGGGAGCAGTGAAGACAAGGGTCACACACATGGGTGGAAGTTAGGACCCCACCAGTGCAGAAGCCAGGTGCCAGGGTAAGGGGCCACAGACAAATTGGAAGGCCATATTTGCGCAGCTGGTGACCTTTGGAAGAAGCAGGAATAGGCAGTGGAGCTGGTCCACGGAAACCAGCGGTTTAGTGATTACTATTGGGGGTTATGGCAGGGGCTTCTGTTGGTGGCTCTTTGCTGTAGCTTGGAGAAGTGTAGTGGTATAAGGAAGAGGTGCCTGGTATAGGTAGCCTGCATCTGGACACCAGGCTTGACGGGGACCCAGATGTATACTGGCCAGTCCCAGCATGGGGGTCTGGGAGGGACAGGGCCCTGTGGACAGACACAGGGGCATCTCCAGGGCAGAAGCAAGCTGTGGGAAGGCTCAAGAGTGTGGCATTTGTAGGTCTCACATGTGCGTGTGTGCACACATTCATATACACAGGGTGGCACAGTTCAGAGATACCTGAACGTGGATGGAAAAGGCAAATCTCACATTTTGAGGAAAGTGTGCAGTGTCAGGTCTAATGTTTCTTTTATTTCTTTAAAAAGCATTGATGGTAGCGTACACCTGCAATCCCAGTTCTCAGGAGGCTGAGGCAGGGAGGATCACCATGAGTTTGAGGCCAGCCTGGGCTACAAAGTGAGTTCACAGGCCAGCCTGAACTGCATAGTAAAAACTCTCCCCTGCACTCCAGAAAAAAAGACAAATAAACAAATGGAGTTGATGCACCCCTCCCCCACGAGTATCGGAGAATATTCACTCCATTTCCGGAAGAAGGGTTAACATAGGTGCAGCTCTGAGCTCCCGTATGTTTGCAGCGTCTCTTGTTGAAGAACCCAGTCAAGTTCCCAGAGGGACCTGGGCAGCTCTTCTGCTGTCCTTGGATTTATTAATGACTTGCTGCCTTCCACTGGACGCCCTCACCCCGCCCTTCGCCCCACACATTGAGTTCTGTATCGTGGCTGGTCTGCCCCATCCCCTCGATACCTCCCTGGTGAGGTATGTGTGCATACCAGGATGGCTCTCCCGCCTGAAGCCTGGGCTCATAAGCCAGTGGCCTGGTTTGGAGGATCTGATTTGCTTTGGGGCTGCTGGTTCATTTGTGTTAAGAAGATTACAGAGCGCCACTCCAGGGCACAGGTTGGCTTTCTTTTGGCAGAGATGCACCAGACAGGGAACAGGGTGACTGTCATTCTTACGGTTGGCTTTCAGATGCTGGTCTGGGAACGCTCTGCCCTTCTTGGCTTGGGAAGTGAGGGCGATGGCTGGTTTTATGTTAGCTTTCCTGCATTTGTGTAATTCCCTTAGCTTTAGTGACTCTGGCGAACCCCTGGCTCAGGGTCAGGAATGAAGGCCTTGCCCTCCTGCCCCACCCTGGGGTCACTTTGACTCCGCAGAGCCCTGATGGCTGTGTCATCAGTCACTGTGACTGCTGTTCTGAGTGACCCGAGGTGGCAGAGGCTTTTGAGCTGCACCCACACCTATTGAGGTGAAAGGTAGGAACTTAAGGTGCAGGTGGAAGTCCCTGCCGGGGAAGGGATGTAGCTTTCGGGCCAGGACCTTTTTTGTTGTTTTGATAGTAGACGAGAGTGGGGCCAGTAGCTGGTGACTGGCCACTGGTTGTGAATGGTCAGGTGATTCCATGCTGTGGGCTGTGTGGACTCCATGCGGTGGGTGGGCGGGGGGCTTGGGTGTAGACAAATGCCCCTCCTCCACTCATCCTGGTCTCCTTGATTTGAGTTTTCTTGTTTCTGGCTGTGTCGTTGGGCTCCCTTGGGGCTGCCCCTATGGAGCGGTGGTTAGGTGGATGCCTGTGCCTGCCTTAGGGACACAGGCAGCATCTAGGACCACTTAGAACCATCCTGGGGCAAAGCTCTGAAAAGCATTCTCTGTGGCCATTCCACTGTGAGTGTGCCCCCAAAAGCCTTCTCTGCACTTCAGGGATCTGGCACCTCCGGTGGCAGACAGGTGCTGAAGCACCGTTAGACAGACTGGATCGCCATGTGGCCATTGGTCATCCAGTGTCTTAGTTCTTTTTTTTTTTTTTTTTTGGCTTTTTTTTTCGTTTTTATCAGTACCAGGGATCAAACTCACGACTGCCTGCTTTCAAGGCAGGTGCTTATGCCGCTGAGCTAAATCCCCAGCCCCTAGTGTCTTAGTTCTTACAGAAATCTCTGCCTCACCCACCTCACATCAAATCCCAGGCACAATAAAACTGCATTGCAAATATCTTCCCAAGTATTACTGACAAGTAAGAGATCTTTTTTTTTTTTTTTTATCAGTACCGGGGATCAAACTCACGACTCATAAGCAAGGCAGGTGCTTATGAGGCTGAGCTAAATCCTCAGCCCCAAGTAAGACGTCTTCTAGAAAAAATCACATCATAGTATACCTAAACAAATATTGGCTTACTTCTTTATTGATATGAAGTAACAATTGTTTTGAATGAATCCTTCACGTGAAGAGAGCGCTGTGTTCAGATTAGGGAGAAAAGAGCAGCAGCTCACTGTCCTGCCCCGAATCTTTTAGTGAAAGGGCTGTTCATTGCTGGGCCAGCTCAAATACTTTATAATTATCCTAAAACTGTCAAATAAGGAGACCCGCTGGCCGTGGAGGTGCATACCTGTAATCCAAGCACTGTCAGAGGTTGGGGCAGGAAGGTTGTAAAATTCAAGGCCAGCCTGGGAAATTTAGCCAAGATCCTGACTTAAAATAAAAAGGTCTGAGGTTGTACGTAGCGGTGGAAGTCTTTTTTTTTTTTTTTTTTTTTTTGTCTTTTTCATTTTTATTGGTACCAGGGATTGAACTCACGACTGTCTGCTTGCAAGGCGAGGTGCTTATGCCCCTGAGCTAAATCTCCAACTCCGCAGTGGAAGTCTTGTCTAGTGTATGTAAGGCCTGGCTGGGTTCAGTTCCCAGCACCTTAAAAAACAAAACCCACAACTCTTCCTTAAATTGAAGTACTTTTGCCAAAGACATTTTACCCCGGAAAGGACACTAAATATTCTCTACCTAGAACTCCTGGTGACATTTCACCTTACATGTGGGAGTCCAGACTTAAACTTCAGCTCCTGGTCCCAGCTTGACCCCCAGGCCACACCCAGACTCTTTCCCCATCAGGAAACGGCCCTGCCAAACAGATGGCTCCAAACAGGAAATGGCACCAAGCAGATGGTTCCAGCCAGGGACCCGAAGGTCCATTTCCTTGGCTTACTCAGCACAGGTGCCTGTGAAACACCTGTGGCAGGGCAGGGAGGGACTGAAGCCATCAGATGTTACCTGGTAGGAGGCGCACTGGCTCCCCAGTGGGATTTGCTAGCTGTCTCTGGTGCAATGCAAGAGTCGAGGGAGGTTTCCCAGATCAGCCCGCAGCATAGCAGCAGAGGCACTGAGAGCCTGCAGGAAGATGCAGACGCTCAGGGTTTCTTCTGTGTGGCCCTCTGATGTCTGGCGGTGAGAAAGAGAATCCCCACTTCAGTGGTGGTCCCTCAGCAGACGCCAGCTCCCTGTACCTGCTGGGTGGGCTTGGGGTACTGGCTGGGGGTGTGGCTTGGGGGAATTGGTCACGGCACAAGGGCCTGGGGACACTGGGCTTCCATGGAATTGGCTTCTGCAACCACCCCAGCCCTTTAAAGAGGGGTCATGACTGTCTGTGTGTGCAGGACAGGAGTATGAATGAGAGGACAAACTTCGATATGTGCGTGAACACAGAAAATGTGTTCAGCAAGGAGGAACTGCATCTATACAGGAGAATCTGCAGTGCGAGGAAGGATTTTCCTGGGAGACTGACCCACTGCCTTCTGGTTCCCCATCTCCTAGGTAACCGCGTGAGATGGCAGAAGCTCACCAAGCTGTGGCCTTTCAGTTCACCGTCACTCCAGACGGGATCGATCTCCAGCTGAGCCATGAAGCCCTGAAACAGATCTGTCTCTCTGGCCTGCACTCCTGGAAAAAGAAGTTCATCCGATTCAAGGTTCTCCCAAATTTGTCTTAATCTCTGCAGCGTTCACTTGGCCATCTAAGAAGGGCTTTCTTGATGCCACTGAGGAGTTAGTGTTTATTAGAAGCAGCATAGAATTTATGTTTCCATGGTACTGGAGGCTCATGGGCACCTTCAGACATACCCTGGCTATTGAGTTCTGGAAGGTTCCAAAAGGCAGGTAGAGCACATTGACTCATTGTAAAACAGCGTGGAAGCCATGGCTCCAGGGCAGGTGACCTAGTTAGCAAGAGGTGTCATCAAAAGCAGAACACATGTCCATTCTGCACTTTGTTGAAAAAGATTGTCTCCGAATTTGAGCGAGGATGTCTAATAACTGCCTCACTGGGACAGAGGGTGTAGCCCAGTGGTAGACTGAAGCCTGAGCCTGAGGCGTGATGAGCTATATCCTCTGGCCCAATTTTAGTTTCTTCAAAAAAATAAAGACCCCCGCAGGATTCAAGGGGTGCTTGAAAACATTCAGACTGTTTTATTGATTCAGGAGGCACCTGCCCCAGCCCACTGCATGCCAGTGTCACTGTGGAGAATGGCGGTGGCCCAGGAAGGCAGTTGGAAAGGCCCCTGGGCTAAAGAAGGTGGTGGTGGTTGAGTCCTCAGAGCGAGCTTCCTGCTCAGGTGTCCTGGGGCTCACCTGGTGGCTTCCTAAGCCCAGGTTACCAGCTGCTGTTATGTTCATCATTGTGGGGAGTAAAAGGAGGGCGCCCCCTATAGGGTAGAAACTGTTCAACCCACTAGAATCTTGCCCAGAGCTGGAGGCAAGGCTCTTAGAATAAACAGTGTGGCCATGCCTCATTAGGGGACAGTGCCATGGCCTGTAGGAGGAGAGGCCTCCAGGCTGCCAGAGCTGCTGCAGGGCACAGGCTTTGGTGTGGATTTGAGGCCAGGGAAGACTTGGCAATTACAGGTGTGTTTTATTTTTTAAAATTTAATTACACTAAACTGATTTATTGTTAAAAAGTTTATTTCAGAGCATAGGGGGCAGACTTGTAGAGGTGAGAATACCTGCTAAGAGAAATCTGGCAAAGCTTTGATGGCTTTGTTGTCTGTTCTTTGGTAAACCAGTCCTGGGGTGACAGGTGTGTGCCATTGCGCCCTTCACACTAGTGTCTTACTGTTTTCCCTCCTGATTTTAACAGTGACCCACATTTTGCCAGTTTTGCTTTTTATAGGGCTCCTTCTTTTTTCTCCTCCTGGAGTATTTCCCAGCAAATTCTCACATGGACCATGGAACCTGTAAATACAGAGGACCTCCAAAGCATCTTGATTTGGGGGACCCTACAGGACCAGTACTGCAGTGTCAGGTCTTAGGTGTCCTGGGCAGTAGCAAGTTTGGGGTAGGACTTCTGGTGGCCCAGGGATACCCTTCATCAGCAGCCGTTAGGAGTCTGTACAGTGAACTGGTACCTGGGTAATCTTCATGTGCCAGGGTTGCACTTGAAGGATGCCAATCTCATGGTAGGGTTTGTTGGGAAGGGAGCAGGTTGTACATAATGGAGACCCAGCTGGTGGGGGTGGTATGGTCACCTGCCCATACCTTCGCTCCACTGCCTCACATATGCCAGGGTCCACGCGGTACAGCCTCAGGCAGCACATGGTTCACAGTCCACATGTCTTTGTCTAGAATGGGATCATCACTGGCGTGTTCCCGGCCAGTCCTTCCAGCTGGTTCATCGTGGTGGTGGGTGTGATGTCATCCATGTACACCAAGGTGGACCCTTCCTTGGGGATGATCGCGAGGATCAGCCGGGCCCTTGACAACACGTGAGTAGTCCTGTCCTGACGTCTCCTGCTGTCCAGGCATTTGCTGATATTCTAACTGCCAGTGTTGTGTCTCTTCAAGTACTGTGACTGTCACTGTTCTAGGTTTTCTTTGAGGCTATTTCTGTCCCCGTGCGGGCTTTCCTCCCATCCCCAGGCTGGTGTCAAGGTCCCATGGGAGTTTGTAAGCCAGATGAGAAGAAGGTTAGGGACCTGGGGCGCCCACCAGAAGGTGTCCCTGTGCCTCTGACCCAGCAGTGGCAGTGCATGGAGCTCACAGTGGTCTGCCGGGCATTTCTCCTGGAAGGCTGGTTACCAGTGTGACTGCTTCTTTACCCTGGAGTTGGTGCACCCCAGAACTCTGAGCCCCTTGAACTGACTTGCTAGGGATCCGAGGTCTGGGGTTGTGTCCACCTTGAGTTCTCTTCAGAGTGGTTTGGACCCTCTGGGGATCTCCTAGCACTCCTGTGCCTGCACTTCTAGATTTTTCCACATCCAGTACTGCAAATAAATAAATGGAGGGAGAGAGAAAGAAAGAGGCAAATGTGTAGTACAGAGTCTACTCATAGCTAATAGCTATATTTGGCTCTGATGGCTCAAGTAATGAAGTAGATTTAACTGAATGAATGGATATTCGAGTAGGAGGGGTGGCCCTGACTCCTGGACTTTTTCAGGGATGGGGTGGTATCCTCCACACCCTGGCCCCTAAACAGGATGTTTAAGTGTGAAGGAGAGGCCAGGCCAACCCAACAGTAGTGGCCCTGGCTTTTATAAGCACCTCCTGCCAGTGTTCTTGTCTTCCTGCGAGTGGGGACAGTGTGGCAAACACTGCTGTCATTTCTGTCAGTGCAGCTGGCAGGCCTGGCCACTTGGCCTAGGCTGCCTCTTTTCTACCTAAGGTCTTGAGAGCCTCAAGCTGTTCCTGGGGACAGTATTTCCCTGTACTTTTTATTTTATTTTATTTATTGAGACAGGGTCTCACTGTGCACTTCAGACTGGTCTGGAGCTCACTTTGTAGTCCAGGCTGGTCTCTAATTTGCAGTGTTCTTCCTGCCTCAGCTTCCCGAGTACTGGGATTACAGGCATGTACCACCACACCCGGCTTTCCCTGTACATTATTCCTTTTTTTTTTCTCTTGTGATGATGGAGTTAGAACCCAGGCACCTTGCTTTAAACTGTATCCTCTATTCTTTTTCAGAAAATTTTATTTTCACACAGAGTGTTGCTAAATTTCCCAGGCTGGGCCTGAGTTTTTTTAATCCTTCTGCCTCAGCCTTCTGGAAGGTGTGCACTGCCACACCAGCCACATTTTCCATGTTGAGTTGGGTTTGTGTCCTTTTGGGGGCAGCTTAAACTCCATAAATTTTGTTTCAAGGCAGAATCTTGCTAAGTTCTCTCAGCAAGCCTCAAATTCCTGCTTCAGCCTCTTGAATTTAAATGCAGACTTGTGATTCACTCTCTAACCCTCGGCTGTCACTGAAAACTGGATTCTCTTCAGACAGGTTGGCTATTTAAAGCCTTTTGTAATCTGGGTGTTTATAAGATTTGTTTCCTTGTCACTCTGAACCTATTTTGGTAAACGGGGCCATCTGGGGCCCATATTTAGAAAGGTCAGGTTAAGGCTCAGTGTCTTCCAGGCTCAGGGCCTCTGGTACCTTCTCCTGGGGAGGAAGGTGCTCCAATTTCCTGGGCTCCTGGACTGTAGAGGGTTTAGTTTAGTTTTGTTTTAGTACTTGGAATAGAGCCCAGGGCCTCAGGAATATGAGACTAGTGCTGTCACACTGAGCTTCCCGCTAACCCTAGGCATAGGTTGCTGCTGTCAGGGTGGCCCTTCGTGGGTCCCTTTCTGCTTCTGACCATCCCTGCAGCTTCGGAAGGAGCATGTTCTTGTTTTGTTCTGTTTTGAGACAGGGTCTCACTCTGTAGCCCAGGCTGGCCTTGAACCACTACTGTCTGCCTGCCTCAGCGTCCTGAGTGCTGAGATTACAGGCATGGGCCCCCACATCCAGAAGGAGGACGTTCTTTTTAAAAGAGACCTCCTAGCCATCTAGGTGCTTTTGTATATGTTATAAAAGCCTTATAGCTGGGCACGGTGGTGCACACCTGTAATCCCAGCACTCAGGAGACTGAAGCAGATGGGTTGTAGTGAGTTAGAGGCCAGCCTGGGCTACATAGTGAACTCAAATCCAGCCTGAACTACACAGGGAGACCCTGTTTCAAAAAATAAATGAATGAATAAAGCCCCAAGTGTGTCATTTATTTGTCTGATTTTTTTTTTTTTTTTTGGCTACTGGATGATCAAATTCATGGCCCTATGCTTGCCAGGTAGGTGCTTATGCCACTGAGCTAAATCTCTGGCCGTATTTGTCTGATTTTGTGAGTTACATTGTACTGTAGTGTTAGAGTACTTAGAAATCTAAAATGTAGATTATCCTAATAATAACTTCTTCAGACCCTAAATCCAAGTTTGCTTGCAGGTTAGATTTTTTTTTTTTTTTTGAGACATGATCTCGCTGTGCAGTTCAGGCTGGCCTTGAGTTCACTGTAGCCTAGGCTGGCCTTAGACTCAAAACAATCCTCCTGCCTCAGCCTCCTGAGTGCTGGGATTACAGGTGTGCACCACCATTTCCAGCTCATTGCTTTCAGGTTAGATTGTCAGGAGAGATCACTAACCCTAATCCTAGAGGCAACGTTTCAGCACTAGAGTTAACATGTTATAAAAAATACTAGTTTTGGGGGATAGGGATTTAGCTCAGTGGCATAAGTGCCTACCTTGCAAGCACGTGATTGTGAGTTCAATCCTGGGTACAAAAAAAAAAAGTTTTGAAGCTAAACTAGTTTTCTTTAATTTGTTTCCATGTTAGTTAAGTATCATGAGATGGTAAATGGATGGTTTCTAAAACTGTTTGTTGTGTTAACCATTTGAAGGACACTAAAATAGTTTTTAATTTTAAAATACTTTGCAGTTTCCAAAAGAGCTGAAACCCCAAACCAGAAAAATGACTGCATTTTGCCTCATTTTATACTTTCTTAATGTGTCATAATCTATGATTTTGTCTTTGTCTTAAACCTTATGGTCACATAATTTACAGGGTTATATAGATTTATGTAGGTGACTAAGGTCCTTGAGCTTAATCCTATAATGAGCCAGTGAGGTCTTATTTTTACATATTCATATTTTGTCATAAAATATCCTACTTCCAAGTCACAAGGCCTTTCTAATAAAGTAGATCAGGCTGGCCTTGAACCTGTGATCCTTCTGCTTGGCCTCCTGAGTGCTTCAGTGATTATTTTATGTGAGCAGACTGTTCATTCATAGTAAGTATTCTTGTCTAGATCACAAACTCTTTTAATATAAAGTAGTTCAGGTAATAAATGTGACATCCAGAAGTAGATTTGAGATGGACGAATTCAGCAAGAGCAGAAGGGAATGACCCCGAATCCCAGTGAGCACCAGGCAGGGTGGTCCCCACCACCAGGGCCTGGGCATCTCTGCAAGCAGGTCTCCACCTAATGATAGCCTCTCACCAAGCTTCATTGGACCCTGGAGATCGTTGTGTATTTTTCCCACGAAAGCATATTGGCTGGTTCATTCTGTTTTTCTTTTTTTTTTTTGAGACAGGGTCTCACTATGTAGCTCAGGCTGGCCTCTCCCTTCCAAGTGCTAGGATTACAGATGGGCACCATGATGCCTGGCTCCATTTCTTTATTGATTTTTAAAGATAGTCTCGCTGTGTTGCTCAGGCTGGACCCCAGAGATCCTCCTGCCCCAGCATCCTAAGGGACTGCAGGCATTCCTGAGTGTCTGCTGTGGCCAGTTCTGCTTTGGGACGGGAGGGCCTTCTCTCCTTTGGGTTCCTCAAAGGCGATTTGTCCTGTATGTAGCATGCCGGGTTGGGTGTTACCCACAGCCTTCTTCCCATGCCTGTGCATTTGTAACTCGTCTTGATTTGTCCCACAGCGGCTACATGTCCACCCAGACGAAGGATGTGGTCAGCTGCTTCCTGTTCGGCACGGGCCTGTGGGTGGCGCTCATCTTCACTATGCGCTACTCCTTGAGGGTGCTTCTGTCCTACCACGGCTGGCTGTTTGAGGAACACGGCAAGATGAGCCGCAGCACCAAGATCTGGATGGTAACCAAGCGCCACTCGCAGTGGGGGATGGTCTTTGGTGTTCAAGGACAGGTCCTCCTAGACCATTTCTCCTTGGACATATGGCAGGCAGCTCGGTCTCACCCTCTGGTTGTTACAAAGACCGGATTTGCCTTGACCCATGGATATGGACCAGAGGGCATTTTCTTTGAGGATGTTGGTGACCTTTGTGACATTCAGTCTTGCGCCTGCTCAGACCATTGATCAGACAAATGTGCCACCACCCCACCCCCAGGTCTTTGTAGCTTTTATGGGAACCTTGCACACGGCCATTCAGTGGCCATGCTGGCTGATCCAGCGGCTAGATGGCATGACCAGTGCCTTCCCACACACTCTGTCTGCTTGCTGTGGCCCTGAGCCCAAGATTCCTATGTGAAACGGAGGGTCTGATGTCCGACTCACAGTAAATCTTTGCTTTAATGAGCTCCTGTTTCCTGAAACACCAGCCTGTCCAAAGTGAGGATCTTCCCGGCTCTTGAGGCCTCTGCCATCAGGGCTGGGCCCTGTGAGCACTACTGGCCTCTGGCCTCAGTGTCCCGTTTACCCCTGCCCACCTGTCCTTGCTGCCTTCCACTCTTGTTGGCTCTTTTTTTTTTTTTTTTTTTTTTTTTTTTTTATTTAAGAGGAAAAAGAGAAAAACACAAAACAAGACAAAGCAGTGTAAGGTTACACATAATACAGAACTACAAAAAAAAAATAAACATAACAGTAAGAAAGATCTTGTTGGCTCTTTGGAGCTGGATGTTTAAGAAATAACAGCTTTGTTAACTTGTATTTTATGGAGTGGCCTAGTGATCTTTATGAACCTGGTCCTGGGGAGATTTTCCTTAAAATCCTTTTCCCCACCAACCTGGGCTCACTTGGTTTTATTAGTGTTCGTGAAGCAATGTGGTAGCTTTGGTGCCCTTGTCTGAACCTGAGGTTGAGCCCCTGTGCTCAGTGACCACATGGGTACCTCAGCTGTGGGCTGGCCTGCTGCCCCAGGCCTCCTGAGAGTCTCCTAGGTGCTACCACACATCTCAGGGCTCTGCTGTCTCCCAGACCATCCACTGCTGTAGTCACATTGGTGTTTTCATTTCTACAGAAGCAGTTTGACACCTAGATGACTAGGAGAAGGTTCCCATGGAAAACACCTCTGTGACATAGCCTAGGGTGTCTCTGTCCCAGGGCCCATAGAGTGCATTTGTCCAGGCAGCAAGGATGATTAGTTACTGAAGCAGGTCTAGGTCAGCCAGCCTGCACCCAGGGCCCGAGGGGATGACTGTGCCTTCCACAGGCCCGACCTGACCCAGGGACATTGTGCTCCAGGACCAGGCACCTGGGCTGACTTTGCTTCATCCCCAGAGCCTTGAACCAGTTCCAAAACCAAGGGCCTCATACAAAACCCCCCAGGTGAAGGCTGTGTCAGGCAGCAACGTCACAGGCCCCAGAACTTAAGGCCAGGAATGAATCAGGGTAGCAGCATCTCAGAGCATCTGTGAGATGCAGCTTTTATGCAGCCTGGTTTTCTTCCCCCCCGCCCCGGTACCGGGCATCGAACTCACAACTGCATTCTTGCAAGACTGGCACTTATGCAACTGAGCTAAATCCCCGGCAGACTGGTTTTCTTTGGTGTGCCTGTGTGTGTGTGTGCATGCGTGTGCATGTACACATGCATGCAAGTATGCTAAGTCCCATAAGTATGGGGGCAGAGAATGAGTCCTCAGGAAAATAACTTGGCAGAGGTGATCTAGTAAGTAGCTGTCAAGTGGGCCCAGTGGAGAACTGGCTTTGGGTCTTGAACTTAGCCTCATCTTTGAAACTGTGACCTTTTTTTCCAGGCCATGGTCAGGATCTTTTCAGGTCGGAAACCCATGCTGTACAGCTTCCAGACCTCCCTGCCCCGCCTGCCTGTGCCAGCGGTCAAAGACACCGTGAACAGGGTAAGTGTGTGTGCTCCCTGTATTTGGGGATGCCAGGAGGCTTTCAGATTAAGGTTGGTGCCCAGTTATGACTGTAAGTTAATTTTCTGTCTGTCCGTCACTCTCTTTATTCTTTCTTTCTTTTTTTTTTTTTGAGTTCAGGCTGACCTCAAACTCACAGCATTTCTGCCTAGGTCCCCCAAGTGCTGGAAATATAGGCCTGTGCCACTGGCTGTCATTTGCTTTTATTGGCTCAGCAGTGTACCTTGTAGGGTTTTTGTGATTTTTTTTCTAATGTTATCATTGCATTTTAGGGTGTTTGTGTGATGATGTTTTTTTTTTTTTAAGATAATCTTGCTCTGTTCAGGCTGGCCTTCAACTCACTTATGTAGCCGGGGCTGGCCTTGAACATGTGATCCTCCTGTCTGCCTTCCAGGTACTGGGATCATAGGTGTGCACCACCAAACCCTGGTTTGAGCATAATGATTTTAAGGCTCACTTCCCCGAACCTGCATGTACTTCTGCCTTTTTTCTGACTGGAAAGACCCCTGTGCATTTATCCATCCTCTGATGGCCATTGAGCTGTTACCAACTTTCGGTCATTTTGAGTCATGCTGCTGTGAATATTCATGCACAGGTTTTTTTTTGTTTGTTTGTTTGATTTTTGGTACCAGGGATCAAACTCACCATCTCTCACTTGCTAGGCAGATGCTGTGCTGCTGAGTTACATCTTCATCCCATGCACAGGTTTTTGTTCAAACAACTGTTGGCCCTCATTTGGGGCATGTGTCTAGGAGTGGGTTGTTGCACCATGAGAGATAATAATGCTTTTCACTTGCTGAAGAACCAGCAGACTCTGAAACAACTGCACTGTTCTGCATTTTAACCAGCGATGTATGTGGGTTCCAGTCTTTTGCCCATTTTTGGAAACTCTAAGCAGAACACTTCTAGGTTTCAGGACTTGAATCTAGTCTCAGTGGTTTAGTCCCTATTCCCTTGGCAAGTTCCTCCTCATCTCCAAGAGGGTGGCACAAGGGTGACCCTGAGGCCAGCGTTCACTGAGCACCACCCACCTGTGTAACTTGTGACAGTGAGTGCAGCGCGTGGGGGTTTTTCTATTTCAGGGGTGCACATTTTACCGTGAATAAGCCCCAGAAAGCACTGCAGCTGGCGCTGGCCAGGGAGCAGGGTCCTACCCTTCACGTTGCAGGGCTGACCACAGAGATTACTGCTGCCCCAAAGCTGTTTTTCCAGCAAATAACTTGTGGGAATAAAATGTTTCATGATGAATCCAGAGGTGGCAGCAGTTGTATTTGTCGTAAACTCTCTCTTAGGAGTAGGGCAAAAGCTCTCACATGTCCCACGTGTGAACTGCTCTCTGCAGGTTTTGACTGCCCAAGCCCGGTTGTCTAGCGTGGGTTGCTGTCCTGTGTTCTTTTGTCACTGACGTGTCCCCCCCTCCTCCACTACTGCTCCCCAACACCCATAGCTTAAAGGAGGAGAGGTTTATTTTGGCTCAGTTTTGGAAGTCTCAGTCGTTGCATGGTTGGTGACCTGGTGGAAAGACCTCAGGGGAAGAGCCTGAGGAAGATGCCACCTTCCTAGCCCACGGATCTGCCTCTTGTGACCAGCGCCCCACTCACCCCTATTATCACTTTTATCCATAGCATCCCATAATCTCATCACCTTTCAAGAGCCCCACCTTTGAGTGCATGAGGCTTTGGGGGGACGTCCAGATATAAACCCCAACAAGGTCATAATGTTTAATTATCAATCTGCAGTGTCTTTTAGCATTGGTGTGAACTAACCTGGCTACAGACTGGCAAGACCAGCTTGGGCAGGTTTCATCTTCTCAGTGTGGAATGACCACTCTGAGGCCCAGGGCAGGGAGCCTCGGCTGCAGCCCATGTGTTTATGGCACTTGATGTGTTTTCACTCACCCCAGTATCTGGAATCAGTGAAGCCGCTCATGAAGGAGGAGGAATTTAAGCGGATGACAGTGCTTGCCCAGGATTTTGCTGTTACTCTTGGACCAAGACTTCAGTGGTATTTGAAGTTAAAGTCCTGGTGGGCCACAAATTATGTAAGTATTGATAGATATAATCTTTTTTTGTGGTATTGAGGGTTAAACCCAGCTCCTCCCCCCCCCTTTGGTACTGGGGATCGAACTCATGACTGCGCACTTGCAAGGCAGGCGCTTATGCCGCTGAGCTAAATCCCCAGGTCCCCCCACTTTTTTTTTGTACTGGGGGTTGAACTTGTAACCTTGCTCTTGTAGGGCAGGCACTTACACCACTGAGCTAAACTCCTGGCCCTCCAGCTCTTTTAATTTTTTGAGTCTCACTAAGTTGCCCAGGCAGGATTCGAACTTGCAACCCTCCTGCCTTGGCCTCCCTTAGTGCTGGGATGACAAGTGTGCACCACAATGCCTGGCTGCATAACTTTCCTTGATGCAGTTTTACTGTATGAAATTAAACAGAGGACAGGCATAACAGAGCTGGAACTGGAGTTGAGATCAAACACCATCACCTGTGAGTCCCCATGTGCAGACTGGTGATCAGTGATGGGTTTCCCCAGGCAGGAAGGAGCGTTTGCACCCTGCCCTGGCTGAAGCTGCTCTTCTGTGTGAATCTTGTCTTCAGGCTGGAAGGTAGTTGTGCTCTTACTCCTGCCAGCAGTCATGAGTGTGCCATCTTTGCCTCCTGTTCTGTCCACTAGTTTGGATCGTTTGGGCTCCAAGAGCATTGTTTTGAGTCCTCTGGTCAGAGAGGCACCTGCAGCCCAGGGCTGATCACCTCCAGGGCTGCTCTGGCCCAGGGTCACCTCAGCATCAGCTCCAGTGCATGTTGGGTTGGGACCAGAGACAGCACTCGGGGCCGCACAGTGTGGGGAGAGTCTTGACTTTCGGGGCACAGCTCATGTGGAAGAAGAGGTTAAGGACGACTGGCAGAGGCAGTGCTTGGTGCTTGATTGAGATGGTGCTGCCTCTGTGGTGTTAGGGATGCTGCTGTGGAGTGTGACTTGGCACACGCTGGCCCCTGTGTTAGTGCCACAGCTCTAACATGGAATGGGGCTGAGACTGGCTTTTTCAGGACCTGGGAAATAGAAAAAGGAGACAGTCTGTGAGGTACTTCTGGATCAATTTTTTGTTGCAGAGAATTTGAGTCCAAGGCCTCCAACAGTACCCTGGCACTGAGCTACCAACCAGCCCTGGGTGTTGGTTATTGAAACATGTTAACAACCATTCGTCATTTTTATTTTATTTTTTTCAGTGCTGTGGATCTCAGCCAGCGCCTTTGCCCTGAGCTACATCCCTAGCCTTTAAAAATATTTTTCCGTTTTGAGACATGACTTTGCCGAGTTGCTGAGTTGCCCAGGCTGGGCTCAAACTTGCAATGCTTCTGCCTCAGCCTCCCTAGAGTGCTAGGGTTATAGATGTGCACCATCACGCCTGGCCACTTAAGGTTTTGTTTTGTTTTGTTTTGTTTTACCACCTATGTGATGAACATACCTTCCAGCTATGTCTCACCGTAAAACACTTTATATTTACCGCTTTCTCAATTGTGTGTGCTCAGGGCCACCAGTTCTAGAGAGGCCCCATCCTTCGCTGGTGTCTGCCCAGAGCACATGCGCAGTCTCCCTGCCCGCCCCCGGCAGAGTGACCTGCACATGCTCACAGTCTGCTTGGCTCCTGGTGAGTCTAACCCTCTGGCTTGTCTCCTGTTTCCTTCCACTAGGTGAGCGACTGGTGGGAGGAGTACATCTACCTCCGGGGCCGCGGGCCACTGATGGTAAACAGCAACTACTATGCTATGGTGAGTCCCTGGGCTGGGCCGGCTGTCTGGGGCGGAGGCCCTGTTCTGCGCTGGTGACATCTTCAGGACTGCAGACAGCGCAGGGGCTTGATCACCGGACCTGTGCTCCTGTTTCCTCTTATCCAAGGCTTTGGGTCAGGAGGGCGCTGGCCCAGGCCTGCATTCCTCACCAGAGGCCCAAATGCGTGTCCTTTTATGTTTGTATAGGGGCACAGGGGCACCATACCAGAATGTGAATTGGGAAACCACCCTGTGGCACACTCAGCCTGAGGTCTGGAAACCTCCATTGCTGTCGCCCTTGTTCTGTGCTGTGTTCCCACCAGCTGTGTCCTAAGGGCTCCTGTGCCCTCCCAGCCTGGAGAGGGGCTGCATGTGGCGCCACTTCCCTGCCCATCATTGGCCTTTCTTTGTCTTTTGAAACATTGACATTGATCAGAAGTCCCCAGTTTTGTTGTCAGCAACTGACAACAGCAGACTAGTTAGGCTTCTCCTGTCCCTTCCTTCTTCTCTGCCTTGATTTCCTCCTCTTTATCATTTGCTTTTTTCTCTTTTTCTTGTTTCAAAAAAAGGTTTTTTTTCTACTCTTGGCTGAAACTGTCTCAGCCTGAGAAAAAAAGTTGTCAGTGTAGTACGTGGAGCTGCTTTTGCTGCATGATGCGACAGTGGCCACCTCTGTCCTTTCCCCTGGAGCACCCACGTGCATCTCCTACAGACAGAAGGGCTTTTCTTGTGCAGCCAGAATGTGCTCTGTACTTTGAACTTTCCAGGATGCTCAGATCTGTGTTGTTGCTGGTCTTTTTCCAGCCGTGGAACAGGAGGCTTTTACAAGTGTATATGACAACTTCGTTGCAGGCAGAAGTCTATATGAATGGTTGTTTTAGGTTGTTTTGGGTTACTTCTCATTTAGAAAATTTTCTTTACCTAATTTCCTGTGCATTCTAGGAGGCTATCTGGAAAGGAATATGGTTATCTTTTAGTAGTGCAGGAATACCTGGGGACTTGTGTTCTGCATTAACAGTGAAAGTGACCAAAATAAAAAAAAAAATTATAGTTTGTTTTGTAACACGTCAGAGTCCACCCCCTCAGGCAGGGATATAGCTCAGTGGCATAAACACCTGCCTGACAAGTAGAAGATTCTGAGTCGGAGTCCCAGTACAATGTATAAATATATATTTGAACACACTCAGCTCATCATTGTTATTTTTTATAGCTCTTCATTCTTGTAACTTTCTGACGTGGCTTTAGAAGCCTTTTCTGAGTGTCTTTGGTTGCACCATTGTGCCTGCCTTGGTGTCCTGAATTGCTGCAGAATGTGGTCATCTTGACTTCAGGACAGAAGTCACATGGTGCCAGACGTGAACGAGTGGTGGAGGGCACGGTGCTGCTTCTGGGAGCTGCCCTGCCCTGGTGGCACACAGTAGCGGCGTTCACCTTATTTCTCATCACGCGTTTTGTAAAGATACCCACAAAAAAGAATTTCCGGAACTGTTTCAGAAAGTGGCAGGAATGATGGGATAAGTGCCTTCAAAACAAAGGGGAGGATTTTGAGGGGGATTGATGGCAGTGTGCCTTTTACTATAATTTTTTAACTTAAAATATTTGCCGTGTATTTCAGCCAGACCTTGGACATTCGAATGCATAAGTAGACAGAGCTTTACAGTGGGGTCAGGCTTTACAATGTGTTCGAGTCAGTGCCCTCTCCCATGCACACTCTCTCTGATGTCAAACCCTCTCTTTCCAGGAGCTGCTGTATGTCACCCCGACTCCCATCCAGGCCGCAAGAGCAGGCAACACCATCCACTCCATCATGCTGTACAGACGCAAGCTGGACCGGGAGGAAATTCAGCCGGTACGCAAACACCAAGCTTTCACCAGATTCCTGCACAATAGCTTTACGGAGGGAAATTGACACTGCACATGCTAAAAGTGCAAGATCTGATGTGGTTCACCACCATGATCAGGGTACTGCATCTGTCACCCTAAAAGTCCTTCTGCTTCTTCACAATCTCTCCCTCTAAGATAACCCCTGATCTACTGTCATCCTGCTTAGTTTGTCATGAGAAAACCTCTGTGTAAGTGGTATGTATCTACCCAGTATTATTTTGAGACTTTATATTCTAAAGGGATATATGTTTGGTTAATTGCATTGAATTCTAGAATTTTCTCTTGGAAAAAAATATATTTTTGTTTTTGTTTTGTTTGGTGATTCTGGGAATCAAACCCAGGGGCACTTTACCCCTGAGCCCTCCCCACTGACCCTTTTATTTTTTATGGTGAGAGAGTGTCACTAACTTTCCCAGCCCAGCCTTGAACTTACAGTCTTCCTGCCTCAGCCTGGCTGAGTAGCTGGGATTACAGCACATGTCACTCTGGCTGGCTCATTTCTCTCTTAAATTCTCCCTTTGGTTTACGTGTCAGATTGTAAAAAATGGATTCAAGTGCTTTATTCTGGAGGTAACTGCCGGACGGCGAATGCTGCCATGGTTCAGCCAGGTCCCCCGTGAACCATCCCAGGGTGCAGCTAGAGAACCCGGAGTCCAGCACAGGGAACAGGCTGTGATGTGTCGTCTTCATTTCCTCCTTTTTATTGTCCTGTGGAGCTGCAAAAGCAGATTGTCCATCTGAAACACATTTTTATTACAGACCCGTCTTGCTTCTACGATTCCCCTCTGCTCGGCGCAGTGGGAGCGGCTGTTTAACACCTGCCGGATCCCGGGGGAGGAGACAGGTGAGTGGCCTCCTCCAGGCCCCTTGGGCAACCAGCGCTTTCCATCTTCCAGCTCTTAGTGAGTGGGGTCAGCCAAGGGGACCACGCTGATTTTGGGGTCTTTCCTGAGAGTGTGGGGTCATGAGCACGCCTGTTGGATTTCCTTTGTCTTTATTAGGCCTGGACAGCGGGCCTATTTCCACATTTCAATTTCTCTTCAGTGTTTTTCCCATGTCTGCTGAAACATTTCTGTTACTTCCTCTGGGTTCCCAGGGCATTTCTCTCTGGCCCTTAAGTAAGGTTGATTGTAAAATGCAAAATGGATTGTACTGGAGAAGCCCGATCGTGGGCCAGCTGTTGGCTTGTAGCTGCCAGGTGACCACATAGTCTGTCTGTTTAAGACATCCTAGAGAATGGCAGGGAGGGACAGCCTCTGTCTGCTGGGATGGCACAGGGCCCCAGAGATGTCTGTGCAGGTAGAAACACGGAGACGCTTGATTGGCCAGCAGAGTCTGTCTGAGACCGCGTCCTAGGCTCTTGGAGCCCATGGCTGCTTTGCAGTGCCCAGGGAAGGTGCCCTGCCCGTCCAGCCTCTAGTGCTTAGCCGCAGCTGAGCTTTCCTGCAGAGGTTTCATGGTCCCTCTGTCCCTGCCCCGAAGCTGTCACACTTGCATGGGTTTTCCCCTGGGCTGTGTAAATATCTGGAGATGATTTAGCATGCAACGGAGCACATGCAGAGGGAATTGTAAATTGGCAAGGTTTTTAATTAGGCAATTTGAAAATCTGGGATTTTGGGGCCAGTCCTTCAATAACAAGGCCAAACTGTCTAAACTTAGTGCTTTTTCCTTTTCTTTTTCTTTTTTAATACTAAGGATTTAATCTAGAACTTTTACACTGAGCTACATCACCAGCTTTTCTTTCTTTTTTTCTTTTCCTTTAATTTTGAGATGGGCTCTTGCTATAATGCTTAGGCTAAGATTCAAACTTGCAGTCCTCCTGCCTCAGCCTCCCAGAGTGCTGGGATTATAATCACTCCCAGCGGTCACTGTCTCATGGTAACCTTTTTCCATTCAGTGACTTTGATTTGATCAGGCATGGTGGCACACACCTGTAATCTCAGCACTGGGGAGGCTGAAGCAGCAGGATCACAGCGAGTTCAAGATCATCTCGGGCTACAAAGTGAGCGCTAGACCAACCTGAATTGTATCGAGAGACCTTGTCTCAAACAAACAAGCAAAAAAAAAAAACCCAATAAATTTTATTTAGTGGAATTACTACTGAAATTGAGAAGATTTAGACAGAAGATAAAATACTAATGTATTTTAGTACTCTAGTATAGTCATTGTCTGCATTTTTGGTGTACTTTGATATATAGTATCATCACAATTCCAGTGTGCCATTTCTGGCTCGTCTCTTTACCTTTATAAGGGGTGCCACAGTGACCATCTTGGACCTCTCCTATGTCGTAGATTAGCCAGTTTATGTGGTTAACTTGCTGGGCCTTACCGTGGACATTTTCAACTTGATTGACACTGACAAATTGCTCTCAGCAATTTTAGCAGCGTGACCCCACCGGTCTGTAAGTGTCATAGTTCCCCTTCTCATGGCTGAGACAAAGTACCCAACAGCCACAGTAAAGAAGGAAAGGTTTACTTTGCCCACAGTTTGTAGAGATTTCAATTCATAGTTCGCTGGCTCCAAGGTAGGGTGGCCTGGCAGTGAAGCATCACAAAGAAGAAACAGCTCTCGGCGGGCAGAAGACAGCAAGCCAGTAAGGAAGCCAAGCAGCAAGCAGTGACCCTCTTCCTGTCCCTTACAGTCCATTCCAGTCCACTGGGTAGCACTCGCATCAGGATGATGCCAAGCCAGTCAGCGGACCGATTTAGTAATTAGTAATTACACACCCTCGATCCCAGCCTCACACACTCCAGATCTAGCTACCTCTGAAAAGCCCCACCTGTGACTGCATGAGGCTTTGGGGGGACATCTAGACATAAACCACAACAGTAAGGGACCTTTAGTCCTTCCATTGCTAACACTGGGCTCGCCAAGGAAAGCAAATTCTTCAGTGTTAGTTGGACATTTTGGGTTTCTTACACCGAGAACTTCCCTTCTTGTATCTCGGGCCCTTTTGAAAAGAGGGTGATGCTGCTTTCTCTTAGCACTTTGTGGCGAATCTCTGTGCATCCTGGATGCTCAGCCTTTAGCAGCTCCTCGGGTTTGTGGACCCAGTGCACCAGATGTCTGAGTTCTTCCTGTTGCTCTTCTGTCTCAGTCTTTAATGGTAATGGGCATCAATAGTAAAACTTGGGGGTAACATCCAATTTATCCATTGCTTTGTATGCTTTTTTTTTTTTTTTTTTTTGTCTTTTTGAGACAGGTTCTCTCTGTGCAGTTCAGGCTGGCCTTGAGCTCGCTTTGTAGCCTAGGCTGGTCTCAAACTCACAACAATCCTCCTGTCTCAGCCTCCTGAGTGCTGGGATTACAGGTGTGAGCCACAATGCCCGGCTTCTTGTGCATGTTTACATCTTGTTTGAGAAATTCTTTTCTCTTTAACAGCATCTAATTACTTCTTTGTTTATGGATCTTCGGTCTGCCTGGAGTTGGTTTTTACATTTAGTGTTACAGATTGGCCTCGTACTTTGCGCATGGATGGCCCCTGTCTGGCCCCAGGAAAACAGCAGCAGTTTGCCCTGCTCCGCTGATGCACACAGGTTCCAGGCCCTGTGGGGCTGCCTTCAGGCTCTTTTCTATCCCAGGGGCTTTCTTTTTTCCCTTCCCTTAGTTGAGTGGTCAAGTTATAAACTATAAGTTCTGGGAGAACTCGCGGTGTTTGCTAAGGGAGGCCTCTCTTGTAAGACCTGTTATGGCTCTGCACTTCCTCGTGTGCTTTGGGATCTGCATCGGGTCCATCAGATTCCTGCTGGAAATGCAGAGACCAGGAGAACCCGGACTGTTCTCTCAGGGTTGAGCCCAGCAAATAGCCCAGCCTAAGAAATCAACGGCAGGGATTTTCTTAGCATCCTGGAGGCTGCAAGTCGAGATTCAGGTGTCACAGGTGGTCCCTGCTCCCGCCTCTGTCTTTGGCCTGCAGAGAGCATCTTCTCCCTGGCCTCTGTGTCCTTACCTGGTTGTCAGTGCATGAGTCGTGTCCTCACTGTAGGGACACCAATGATACAGGCGGATAGCCCACCGTAGTGACCTTGTTTAATCTTAATGACCTCTTTATAAACCTGTCTCTGAATCAGGCCACCTTCTTAGATATTGAAGGTTATGACTTCAGCCACTAGTGGGGTACGCGGTGTGCACAATTCTACCGCACACTGGGTAAACAATTATTTATCATTGAGTTTACACTTATGTGTACTCGTGCTTATTTACGGAAGCTTTTTTTCAAGTTGTTGTTGTTGGTTTTTGTTTTTCTTTTGCCAAGATTTGAACTCAGGACCTTGTGTTTTGCCAGACAGGCACTGGTGCTGCTGAGCTATATCCCTAGCGTGCTTGCTAATTTAAACTATAGATTTTCTTGGCTGTGCCATGACTAATCCTAGCTGCACAAGCCAGCTCCTATATTCCCCATGCATCTCCTTTATCTTTGGTTTCTTTCTTTGTTTTAGTACCAGGAATTGAACTCACAATCTTGTACTTGCCAGGCAAGGGGTGTGCCACTGAGCTATATCCCTGGCCCTAGTTTAGCTTTTTTTGTTTTTTGGGTTTTTTATGCCCCAGCCAGGGCTTCGGGATAAGTGACCACACCCATGTTCTTTTGTTATCTCTGGCTTTCAAGTGAAAGTGTCAAATGTGTGTTCCTGATAGCAGCCTTCAGCAGGTGAAGAAGGCTCTCCTCCATCCTGGGGTGCTGGAAGTAGCTTTTAAATGATATCTAGTGTGGATGGGGTAAAGCTGGGCTTTATCCGACTAGGTCCTTAAATGTCACATCCCTTATGGTGGTGGCAGGGTCGTCTCATCCCCAAGTCAGGCTGGACCACTGTCACCTGCTTTTTATCCCCTTGTAGCACTTGCCTTTCCCATTTGGCTATCTGTCTGTCTGTCTACCGATTTATCTGTAGTGCTAGAGTTTGAAGCCTGGGAGTGCCGAACTACAGCCTCAACCTCTTGTACATTTTTGTTTTTTAAATCATGAGAGAGTTTTGCTAAGTTGCCTAGGCTGGGCTTAAACTTGAAATACTCCTGCCTCAGCCTTCCAGAGTGCTGGGATTACAGGTGTGCACCACCTTCCTCAGCCCTGGCTTCATTTTACCTTTGAGAAAATTGAGGCTTGGAGAGGGTAGTGCCCTGCCCTAATTACTGACTCATCGAGTGGCCAAGGTGTGCTTGGAAACCAGTCCCGTCTCATTCCAGGGCTCTTGAATCTCTTCTGTTTCTTTCAGAATCGTGGGCTCATTAAACTGAACAGACTGGCACAGGGTTAGGAACTGTGTCATTTGGAGGGGGGTGCGGTCCTCTCACTCTCTAACCTTGTCCCTCTGGATTTTGTGTCCCCACTGCACGTCCACCTCAGACACCATCCAGCACCTCAAGGACAGCCGGCACATCGTGGTGTACCACAGGGGCCGCTTCTTCAAGGTTTGGCTCTATCACAATGGGCGGCTCCTGAAGCCCCGCGAGCTGGAGCAGCAGATACAGTGGATCCTGGATCACCCGTCGGAGCCTCAGCCCGGGGAGGCCAAGCTGGCCGCCCTCACCGCCGGAGACAGGTGCGTGGCCCCTGGGCAGCACTGTCACAGCACCTTCCAGCCCTGCAGTCGTCCCTGTGGGACCCCAAGTGGGTCCCAGCCACTGTTGCTCTGTGTTCTATGAAAGCAAGGCCATTGCATAAATAGTTGGCTTTGGTGCAGTCCCATGGTCACCTCTGCACATGACAGGCAAATGGAGACACAGCATGTAGAGCATGTGACTGAGAGGACAGGACAGGGAGCAGGCTTACTCACAGGGCTACGGGCTTGTTTATTAATGTGGAAACAGAATTAACTTAAACCAAGGCCCTGGTGTAAGTTTTCAGGATACAGGAAAAGAACAAGTTCAGTTGGACCTTCTGCTGACAGCACAGGTATTTTCTGTGGTCCCCAAAGGTGTGGAGGTGGTGATTCTCCACACCAGCAAATGAACAGCCCTGCAGTGGACCCCAGCGAGGCCACCTCTTGGTCACTTCTGGAGGTAGTGTCAGTTCCCAATGGGTTGTGAACTGAGTCCCCAAGACTATCTCTCTTCACACCCAGGGGCAAAGCTGAGCCTCTAGAACTTCTGACTGATCGGTCACACATTCCCGCAATGTTCTCTGTAGGCTCCATTGATTTGTTAGGGAGCTGGACATGATGGTACTCTCGTGTATTCCAGACACTCTGGGAAGCTGAGGCAGGCAGGAGGGTCGAGAGTTTGAGCCCAGCTAGGGCACCTCAGAAACTTAGTAAGAGCCTATCTCAAAAAACAAAAAAAGGACTGGGAACATGGCTCAGTGCAGAGGCCCTGGGTTTACCTGCAAAGATAGTAAGCAGTGAGGGGAAGTGATGCACAGAACAAGGTGTGCAAGAGTCCCAAATACAGGATCTGAACTTCATTTCTCTCAGGCACACGTGCTCGTGTCTCCTCCACACACGTGTGGTCACGTGGAGGGATGGCAAAGGTACCTCCCAGAATTCAGTGGAGTCAGGGTGTGCTACCTGTTGTCTTTGGGGTTTTTATTTATTTTAAAAACTTTTTTTGGAGACAGGATCTCACTGTGTAATGCAGGCTGTCCTCAAACTCATGGCAATCCTCTGGCCTCAGCGTCCGGAGTGCTGAGATGACAGGTACACCACCATGCCCAACTCCTTTTGGGGTTTTAGGTAGAGTCCCTTGCATGGGGATGTCCGAAGCATGGACAAGTGTGTCGAAATTGTACTGGACGAAAAGGGTGTGCTCTGATGCTAGCAGGCCTCTCTGTTCACGCTCTTCTTGTCCTGTCTGGGCAGCGGCTATGGGGCCATTGTCATTGGTTGTGTCTAGCACACCAAGTAGCTCAGAGAACTTCCAGCTCCAAGACAAACATGCGGAGAATTAGAGTATCTGACGCCTCTTGGGTAGAAAAGTTGCAGACAGATAAAGATCCATAAACAAAGCAAACGTGAAGTACTTTTAAAGAAAAATTTTGTTTCTGTCCAGCTCAGGGAAGTAGGAGAAGTTAGAGAGCCTGCGTTCCAAGGCTGAAAAGAAGGACTGCTTTCCCCGCCATTGCCCTTGAGCTATCCCGTCTGCTACAGCAGCTAAAGACAAGTGGGCCAAAATACTGTAAGACATGCTTGGTGCCCTAGGCGTGAGGAAATAACATGAACGGGGAGTCAGAAGCCAGGAACCATGGAACAAGGGCATTGTCCAAGGGCAGAACCACTCTGAGGCCCGCAGGGCACCTAGCCTTGGCTCTGTGTATACCAGCCCTGGCTGGGTGTCCGTGAGCTGTGCAGTGTGGGCTGGTGAGCAGCACCCCTGCCCCGTCCCTGCTGGATGCCAGTGGCCCCCTTGTTGTGACAACCATGGTGATCTCGAGATGTCCCCGTGCTGCTGGGAGAGCTTCAGAGTCAGGCTGGAGTGGGAGCCAGGCCACTGTCTGCAGACACTCGAGGGCTTAGCACTGGGCGTCCGGGCCGGCAGCTGGCTGAGTCTTACAGACGGTGGCAGTGGGCTAGGAGGACCATGAGTGTCCAGAGTGGGCCAGGGCAGGCAGATTGCGCCACCAGGCTGAAGAGCTGTGACAGTGACAGCTGCTTTTGGCTTTGCTGCTGCCAGCTGTCATTACATGGACCAGTTCCGGCATGGGTGACACAAGTAGATAGCTTTTCTGTGGTTGAGGAGGGAGGGGGCCTTTAGAGATGGGGTCCAGGGAAGCAGGGGGAACAGTTCAGCGGTCAGAGCAGTTAGGACCAGAGAGAGGACCGTGTGGGAAGGGTTGAAGGGCTGAGTTAGAAGAAGCCGGGGTTGCTCGGCATCTGCGATGGTGGAGGACAGGGCAGTGTTAGGAAGGATTTGTTCCTTTGCTTTTTTTCTTTTTTTTTTTTGAGACAGTGTCGCTATGCAGTTCAGGCTGGCCTTGAATTTGCAGGGATCCTCCTGCCTCAGCCTCCTGAGTGCTGGGGTTACAGGTGTGCGTCACCATACCTGGCTCATTTTGGATGTGCTCATCTGAAGGACTGGAAACTCCTGACAGCAGGCCTGGGAGATGGCACAGCTAGGGGACCAGGATCTCCTTCTCCCAAGCCCCATGATTGATAGGTGCCCTAAGATGCACCAGCTCCTCTCGGAATGGGCCAGAGCCAGTGTTCCCCGAGCCTTACAACTGAGGGCTGCATTCGTGTCAGCCCTTTTGTTGTGGCCTTTGTCCTCTGGGCGGGGGCCTGTGTTGGGGACCATGGAGGGTATAGACTTGTGGGCACCATGAGTGAGCACTGAGCCAGAGAAGAGGTGGGTGACAAGAGGCCTGGCAGGCCTGATCAGGAAGGGTGCGTGGGGGCAGTCCGGGTTACAGCAGGAGGTGGCAGGGTGGGAACTGCATTCCTCTGAGTGTGGAGAGTACAGAGGACCTGGTCCCAGAGGTGTTCTGCCATTCCTGTACCCTGGACATGAGAGCCAGGTGGCTGAGGGTTGAATCCGTCCCTGCCTCAGTAGAGCTGCAACCTCCTGTCCCTGTGCCTCAGTATCCTCACTTGAAAGATGCGTGTGGGGCGGGGAGATGATCAGAGAGTCGCACGAGGAGAAGGCCATGAGCAGATCCTGGCTTGAGGGCAGAGGTCTCTGTGCTGGCTGTGACTTCTGCTATCAGAAGTGGTCTAGGCTGCCTCCCGGGAGGACAGGGAGGGCAAGGAAGGGGTGTGCACCTTCTCTGTGTCGTTGCTGCTCCCCGGCAGCTGTGCCCATGGGGCCAGCCTGCATTGGCTGTGGTTCAGTGAAAATAAGGTGCTATGCCATGTGCCCTGCTTGAGGAACAGCAGGGTGAGTGGATGAGAGGCCCATTTGGGCAAATGATGCAAAACGGCAGGTGGACAGATAAACATAACATGTTTCCCTTCAGAAATCTGCCAGAGGAGGATGGGTGCGAGTTCAAGGCTAACCTTAGCTACGCAGTGAGACCCTGTCTGCAAAACACAGAACAAAACAAAAAATATAATTACAGCATGTTAGGGTTACGGATTCCCACTTCCTTGTCTTGCAGATTTCAAATTTTAACCCGTTAAGTGAATTTATGGACAAAATTTTAAAGAACCTTTTTGAGTAGCTGGTTCTTACATTAGGTGTTTGAACAAACTCAGAAAATGCTTGATTGCTGGCAGTGTTTTAATGTTTATCAAACAACAGCATTTCCTATAGAAGGATAAAACTTAGTGTATTGCAGCTCGTGCAAAGTTGTGTGATAGATTTGCTTCCAAGTTTTGGGTTGGAGTGACAGGAGGGGATTCAGAGCCTGACAGAATTAGGAGCTTTGCTGTGACATAATCAGAGGGTGCGGGGCAAGGGTCACTTCTACATTTGTGTCCCTTTTGCTCTGTTGTGTAGTGTTCACGATTAAACCGATCAACACAATTTGTAGAAGTGGAACTTTGAAATGCATGTGCTAGATTTACGCTGAAATGATTCAGTTCTCACGTTAGTAACAATTCAGGTGTTTTTGTTTCTTAATTTAAATATAGGGTTAGGGTAATATTACAAAGGCAATCTAGTGGTTAGATTTTCCATTTGTATTTTATTTTGTGAAGTATGTTTTTCACAGTTTAAGATTTGACAATCATTGCACTTTGGTAATAATAATAATAAATGTATTTTATTTTTTTTGTTGTTTTTTTTTTTTTTTTTTTTTTTTTTGTCTTTTTCATTTTTACCGGTACCGGGGATCGAACTCATGACCGCCTGCTTGCAAGGCAGGTGCTTATGCCGCTGAGCTAAACCTCCAGCCCCAATAAATGTATTTTATAATGCTAAAAAAAAATGCCTGCCAGCCGCAGTAGTGCTAAATAGTCAGAAGGCTAAGGCAGGAGGGTGGCAAGTTTGAGGCCAGCCTGAGCAACTTAGAGAGACCTTGTTTCAAAATCAGAACAGCTGGGGATGGAGCTCAGTGGTAGAGCACTTACCTGGCATGCCTCAGGCCCTGGGTTCAGTTCCTAGTATCAAAAACAATTTTTATCTCCTGAAAATTCGTAAAGGGATATATTGTGTCATTTCAGACAGGTGCCGTGAGCCCTCACAAAGCTGGTATGGGTGCCACTGTGTTTAACTGTCTGTGCTCCTTACCACAGAATACCCTGGGCCAAATGTCGCAAGACCTACTTTGCACGTGGAAAAAATAAGCAGTCTCTAGATGCCGTGGAAAAAGCAGCATTCTTCGTGACACTAGACGAAACCGAGCAGGGATACAGAACGGAAGACCCAGAAGCGTCCTTGGACAGCTATGCCAAGTCCCTCCTGCACGGCCAGTGTTACGACAGGTACTGCCCTCTCCTTTCCAAAGGAAGGAGTTTCCTGCCTGAGGCTGATGCCTACCCCCAGGTATTTTTGCAGTTGAGGAACAAACTTAGTGTGAAAATAACTTCTCGCTTTCTTCCCTCCATCCAAACTGTCACACATACAACTGGAGCCAGGCATCTCTGAGATTCGTCCCTTTGCTGTGCCCAATCACCTCTGCTTGGAGATGCTCAGATGCAGTGGTCTCTGGGTACCTGGTCCCAGATGGAAGGGGGAGACAGGGCTGAGCATGGGTTAGGCCCAGGAGTCAGCTTTGGCCTTGCTCATGCCCACAGGGATGGTGCTTGGTGGGATCTCCCTTTGGTCACTGTAAGGTGAGGGCTCCCCTGCAGGCCGGGGACCATGGCTGCGTGGGGCTGCAAGGGTGGTTGTGCCCATGGGGACAGCTTCTGTTCTCCCCGGCCGCCTTGCGCTCCAGTGACCTGTCCTGCTCTAGTTCCCAGGACACACGTGCTCATCTTCACTTCTGGCACAGGAAGGAATGAATGACTCTGTGACCAGTTTCTGGCCAGTTGTGAGGGGTGGGCAGCAGAGCGTCAGGCCCTTCCAGAAGGAGGCAGATGGCTTCAGGCCATGTATGTTAGTTGGACAGCAAAGCTCCATGATCACATGTGTTTCTCTCAGGTGGTTTGACAAGTCCCTCACGTATATCGTCTTCAAGAACGGCAAGATAGGGATGAATGCAGAGCACTCCTGGGCAGACGCCCCCATCGTGGCCCACCTGTGGGAGGTAAGTGTCCTGCTATTGTTCAGGGTGGACACTGTTTTCAAAGGCTGACACCCCGGACTGCCTTTGACTTGGTGTTGGTCCTAGAATGTGACTTTTTTTTTTGTCTTTTTGAGACAGGGTTTTGCTAAGCAGTTCAGGCTGGCCTTGAGCTCACTTTGTAGCCCAGGCTGGTCTTGAACTTGCTGCAGTCCTCCTGCCTCAGCCTCCCAAGTGCTGGGATTATAACATGCACCACCACACACAATTAGAATATGACTTTTTAACACATGCGCTGTTATGTATAAAGTTATATCACTAAGGAAGGGCACCCACGGGTTCCTTTCCTGTCTCTTAGGACCCTGAAGGAGCGGGCACATACACTGCCACCTCCTTTCGGAGGCTGCCATCACCAAGTGGCTGTCAGCTCTTACGTAGCAGCTTTAGGGCAAAAGTGAACACAGCTTACTCTGAAAGAATTGCCTGATTGCTGGATTTCATAAGTTTTTTTCTTTTCTGCCTACCTGGTCTTAGACAAAATATAATCAAGCTTGTTAAAATCCTGGTTCATAAAAAGCCAGTATATCTTTTACTGAAAACATTAATTCTTAAAATTAACAAGTTATTTAAAAAGCCTGAAACCTCTGTTACTTTTTTTTTTTTTTTTTGCCTTTGCAGTAAATGAGACTGAACGCAGGATCTCACACACACTAGGCAATCACTCTGCCCCTGAGCTATCCCTTCAGCCCAATTTTTAATCTTATTTTGAGACAGTCTCCCTAAATTGCCCAGGCCAACCTTACCTTTTGATGCTCCTGCCCCAGCAGAGGGTACCACCAACACCTATCCCCTTTTCCCAACCCAGCATTTAAATACACAAGGTGGGCCGTGGCACAGCTCAGTAGTAGAGACCCCGCCGAGACTGAGTCCCCAGCACTGGAAAGAAAGGAGAAAAAACCTACAACGCTGCAGAGCTACTGCTGCCACCATGTTTTATTTGCCTACTCTCTTGAACTGTTTGACTTGATTCATGTTGGGCATGAAAGGCATGAAAAGCTGAATGAAGGTTTTGCTTTCTTAACTTACCTGTTAGGTTCTTGTTGTCGCCAAAACTCAGAGCTCATAGCAGTGGACCCGGCACAGAAAGTTCTGTCTTCACTCACTTAGATGAGACTTGGTAGTTATTTTGAAAGCACCAAACCCCTTGAGATTCGTGTTGAATACAAAACTACATTTTTGCCGTTTTTATTTCCCTGCTGCTCTAAGAAAGGAAGCAGAGTAAAATGACCTTAAAGTCTGAGCCTGGGAGGGAGTCAGAGTCAGGGCGCTGCGGGGAGGATCCCCTCACCTCCACATAGCCCCAGTGTGCAGAGCCCAGTGTGTATCTGGAATTCCCACAGTAAACTTTTTTTTTTATTTTATTTAAGGAGAAAAAAAAAAAGCAGAGAAAGGGTACAAGTTATACAGATTTACAGAAAAAAATAAACAGTAGGAAATCACTAGTTAATGGATTACATATTGTCATCTTAGAAATAATTGTTCAGGTCACAGAATTAAAGCTTGTAAAGTGGACATTCCAACAGTGAGACTGCAAACAGTTCTGTTCAATGAACCAATAAAACTCAGTGATATCATTTTCTAATCTTATACACTTAAATATACATGCAGTTATATTGTTTAGAGAACTTTCTTTTCCTCTCTTTTGTACAATGACAGTTACCCATTTTGGGTTTTGTTGCTCCCACAGTTCTTATTACTTTTTTGGAAGGGAGTAAAACCAAATGTGACCTAACAGAACAGAGTCAATCAAATCAAAAGGGTGGACATAATAGATAATGTAAAAGCATAGTATAAGGTGATCAATAATGGTTACCATTCCCACAGTAAACTTGTGAGGAGTCTGAGGACACAGTAGGATGAATGTCCTTTCTCTAATATGTTCGAGATCAGACTTAAATTTGGGAACGTTTGTATATACTTTACTGGTTGAACACAATATCTGAACTCTGAAAAGCTCAGAAATCTGACGCTCTTTACCAACATGATGCTCTAAAAATTTCAGATTTTAGAGCATTATGAATTTTAGATTTTCAGATTAGGGATACTCTTATCTTACTGTTTTTTCTGCAGACACCTGTGAAGGCTTTGAATTTGGGGATTCTTTTTTTCTTAAAGACATGGCCTTGCTGTGCAGCTCAGGCTGACCTTGGACTCACTGCAGCCTAGACAAGCCTTGAATTCATGCCATCCTCCTGCCTCAGCCTTCTGAATGGTGGGATTATAGGCATGGACCACCACACCCAGCTCAGTACTTTTTTTTATAATATTGTATCAATCTATTTTATTCTGTAGAGCAGGGCCCTGTCTGTCAGGATCCCACACAAGTCATCCTCTGCCTGGAGGGGAGGGGAGTTCTATGGATCCCAGCGGAACCATCTGCTCTGGTCTGACCCTCTCCCAAGTGAGGGGAGGAGCTCCTGTCTCGACTCCTCCACATCTCATTTCTGGTGGGGGCTTGGCGAAGCCCCAGTAGCTGCTGTTTTTGGTAGAGGAAGAAAACACGAAGCTCTCTAGGTTTTAAGAACTCGATGTGGCCCTGAGCAGTGAGGGCCACATGGATTCCTTTACTGATGTAGGCAGTCTTTAGCAAGCGAGCATTTCAGCTCCGCACCCAGCAGAGGTCAAGCTCGGGTGTGTCTGGACAGCAGCAGGTATAGGCACAAGCTAGGCACATACTGTTCTGAGGACATTCTGGGTAACACATGCCCAAGGGCTTTCCGGTAAAAGACTCTGAATCCCACGCTGGGTATATTTATCAGAGAGAAATCTAGGGCTATGTGCAGGGTCAGGCTGATTTTTTAAAAAGTAATTTGGATAAGGATAAGGGGATTTTTTTCTTAAATGAAGGTGACTGATGAGAAGCTGTGTTAGGTGTTAACCGTCTGGCTGACTGGCGCCCTGGCACTCCAGAGACATAGAGTGGAGCCCAGGACCTGTGCGTGTTGGTGGGGACTGATCTGATGTCCCCTCCTGGGGCCTCGTATGCACTGAATGGCACGGGGTGGGATGCCAGCCAGAAGCAGGTCTGATTGAGGCGCCAGCCTGAGAGTCCTCAATGTGTTGTTTCTGTTTTTTGAGACAGTCTCACCATGCAGCTCAGACTGGTCTCAGACTCACAGCTGTGCTCTCCAGTGCTGGGGTTACAGGTGTGCACCACCGCACCTGGCTCCCAGAAGTGTTAGCCATGCTGAGATCTGGAGGTCCCAGTGTGTTCCCCATGTTTGGGGGGTGTTGGGACCGCGCATACCTTTGCTTCATCCTTCAGTTGTGTTGGTCCACGAGCCCAGTGCCTTTTCCTTTTAGGCATGTTGGGCCTGGGAGCCCTGTTGTGTTCCCCATGTTCAGGCATGTTGGGGTGCGGAAGTCCCCTTGTATTTTCCATGTTCAGGTGTTCTGGATCCAAGCATCCTGACTCCATGCAGCCATGACTGAGCAAGCTGGCCCTGCTCCCTGGGGACTGCAGGCCAAGCCTGAATGACTTTTCCCTCCCTCTGCCTGAAGGTGTCAGCCTGAGCTGGGGCTGGGCCAGAGACCCTGAGGAGGAGTCTCCCTGTCATTGTGTTTCAGAGCTGATACACTGCACTAGTGTGACGCCCACCCTGTTAAGGTTACCACAGGTCTATGGTTCCTGGTATATTCACCAGGTGTTTGTGCTGTGATCTCCACCGTACAGTTCTAGACATTTTTATCACCTCTCCCTGCCCCTGAGAACTGCTGACCTACCTTCTGCCTCAGTGGATGTTCTAGATGTTTCAGAGATGAAATCAGGCAGTCTGAGGCCTCTCGCGTCTGACTTTCCCACAGCATAATGATTTTGAGGTCCAGGCAGGTCGGAGCATGTTCCAGGGCTTCGCCTTTTCATAGCCATGGAACCTTCTGTTGTGTGGCCGGAGCACTTTCTGTCTGTGTGTTCATCAGTTTGGGTCTTGGGTTGCTGGTACTTTCTGGCTGTCAGGAATAATGCTGCAGTGGACTTTCGAGTGCCAGCTTGTGTGTGGGTACACTTCGCCTCGTGGAGTGCACATGTCCTGTGGCCGTTCCATTCCTTGAGGAAGGGCGGACACCCCTGTCCCTGTGTGTGTTGACAGAAAGCAACATTCACATTGCACAGTCCTAGCCTGCTGTGCCCATGCTGCTGTGTTGGCCATAGCGGGCTCATGGTGCATCCCAGGAGGACGTGGACTTGGGTGAAGGCCTCGCCTCACTTGGGTGCAGTCTTCCCCTTTGCACACATGGGTTGGTGGTTGGTACCTCCAGGCTGGACACAAGCAGTCCAGTGACGGCGGCATCTAGAGCCCAGGCCTAGAAGTAGGCCCCGTGCACCTTGCAGCGGGCATCAGAGCAAAGCCTGGCTCTGCTCCTGACCCGTTGTGTGACCTTGAGAGAGCTTCTGACCTCGACTGCCTCCTTTCCCACCTCTGGGATGGAAAATGGCACACTGACCAGGTCTGTGAGAACACCAGGTACCAAACATAGTATAAGCAACTCAGCAAGTAGGTGGCAGTGGTCTGATCTTGACATAGCTCTGAAAAGAACATGGCTTTGTCCACCTTGGAGGCCACACATTTTGTGTGACACTACTGGATGCATTCTCTGCCTCATATGTTTGATTTTTGTCCTTGTTCCCTGGCACACAACTTCTAAAAACCCTCAGAATCCTCTAGATGATAATGTCTTTTTGGGGGCGCTGGAGCCCCCCAGGTGGCTTTAGATCGGGGCTGGTGACAATAAGGCAGGACTAGAGGGTTCTGACTGACAGTCCCAATCCCAGCCTCCAGGGAGGGCTGAGGTTGGGTTGGTCATCAGTGGCCAGTGACATGATCAGTAGCGCTTCCACCATGATGTTGCCATAGGAAACAAAAGGACAGGGTCTGGGGGAGCTCCCAGACCCCTGAATTGAGAGAGGCATCTGGAGGGTGGGATACTTGGGGACCATACTTCTCACCCTGTACCTCTCTATCCCTTGGGATAAACTGTGTAATAAAAGAAAAATGTAAGCTGGTGCTTACATTTAGAGTTCTTTTATGAGATGCTTTAGGAAATATAATCAGGCCCTAGGAGAGAGTTAAGGAAACCCCAATTTTTGGCAGTTGGTCAGTAGCATGGGTCACACCTGCTACTGAAGGTGCTTGTGCCTGACACCAGAAGTGAGGGGTGGCATTGTGGAAGGGGTCAGCTGTGGTATGTGCAGTGTGTCCTTGCCTGGTGTGTGGAGACCCCCTTGTTCAGCCCAGTGGCATTCTGTGCAGAGAGGACAGTAAGAAGCCAAATTTGGGTTTTCCATTCAATCCACATCCTCCTGTTTTCCACAGTATATCATGGCCACGGACTGGTTTCAGCTGGGCTACGAGGAGGACGGCCACTGTAAAGGGAGCACCAACCCCAGCCTCCCCTGCCCCACCAGGCTGCAGTGGGACATCCCAGAAGCAGTAAGTCCCAGTGACCCAGTGATTGTCACTGTCTCATTTTCTGATTACTGAGATCAATACTGGACACCCAAAACTTGACTTAGCGGAGGGTTTATTTGGAGTAAGAGTTTCTAGAGAATTTTCTTACTGATTGACTGGCTCCAAGGCAGGAAGTGTCGTGGTGACCAGAAATCAGAGAAGAGGGAGGAGCAGGGGAGGGACATACACTCTAGCAGGTCACCCCCAGCAGTGCACTTCTGACCAGGCGCCTTCATCTAGCAGCGCATTCAGCTCTGAGCCTGTGATTCCACCAACTTACCAAAGTCTTATCTCTGAAGTTTTAGAGGTATTCCAGATGTAAACCCAGATATTGACTTAGCCCTGTGGGAGGCAAGTTTGAACTCTCAGCACCCAGATCCTCCAGTGGTACTTCTGAGTGTCCCCAGGCTCTGCTGCTGTCCATAGAGTCTGCAGCCTGTTTGCCCAGGGCTGCTGCTGTGCCCCCCTAGTCACTCCTCCTGCACTTGAAGCTTTTGGCCAAGGCGACAGTGTTCCAGCTCAGAAATAACTGGGTAGCTGTAAACTTCACAGTGGAGAAGAAAAACCCAAATCTCAAAGGGTCCAAATACTCCAGGTGGCTACTTTATAATCTCTGCAACATAATGTATCTTTGTTCCTTTAAAGATTCTCAGGCACTACCCACTCAGCAGAAGCCTTTTGGGGAAGGAAACATCAGGCCCAGCTCATTGGATGAGGCTGGAGCCCCTGGGCTTCAGAAGTCATTTTCATGGCGTGCTGCAGGTCCAGGGCCGGCTCGGAGTTTGCAGACAGGCTGAGCTCTGGCAGTGTGCCCTCAGGGGCACAGGGTCCTAGGATTCCACCAGGGTACTCAACATTTTTCCAAAGAGACTTTACTTTTTGTCTTAATAATCACTGCAATAAATTACTATTTATTTATTTGTGGTACTGGGGATGGAACCTAGGACCTCGTGCATGCTAGGCAAGCACTGTACCTCTGAGCTACATCCCCAGCCCCGAGACTTTACTTTTTGGAGCGGTCAGTTTCACAGCAGAATTGAGGAAGGTGCAGGGATTTCCCTGATGCCTTTTCCGTTCACCGTCACTCCAGCGATGTACCCCACTACCTGTGATCTCTACCAGAGTGGCACATTGTGACACCTTTGAGACATCTCCAAGATGGCGCCTTATGTATTACACTGGTGGGGTATACGTCCCACTGTCAGCATCACCTGGAGTAGCTTCCCCAGAAGCTGTACAGTGGGGGATCGTGGGAACCTTTTCTGACAGCTTCTTTCAAATCAGCAGTGTGCCTGTTAGCTCCTCCATGTCTTCATGGCTTGATCGTGGGTTTTTTTAGTGTTAAATAGTATTCCATGGGTTGACTATCTTTTACTTTCTAAAGCTTATTCCTCACAGCCACTGTGTATCAAGAGTGGGCGTCATAGCACAAACCCTGGACTGTTTGGAATGCCCTTAGGGACCTCACTGGGAACCAGGACCCCTCCTGTGCTCCTGCTGCTTGGGTCCCATACTCCTCTGGGGTGCTCAAGAGCCACCATGGCGCTGACTTTCTGGGCCTCCTAGGGGATGTTTTCTTCTGGAGAGTCCACCCTTTCTCGTGCTGAGGAGCATCTTTCTCTCCTCTCCAGTGCCAGGAGGTGATACAGGCCTCCCTGAACACTGCGACCCTTCTGGCAGACAATGTGGACATGAACTCTTTCCCCTTCCACACCTTCGGGAAAGGACTCATCAAGAAGTGCCGCACCAGCCCAGATGCGTTCATCCAGCTCGCCCTGCAACTGGCCCACTACAAGGTAGGGCCCGAGAACCAGGGTCCTGTTGGGGTACTTGGGAGGTGCCACACATGTGCCAAGACTGTGTGGGGTTGAGGAGGCCCAAAGCCTGGCACAGGAGAGGAGCTGTCAGCAAGGGAAGCTCAGCCTTCTAAAGATGGAGGGTTCAGCTTGTAAAGTTCCTGCCAGGTACCAAGTGCAGGTTCAGTGGTGTCCCAGAGGGACAGCATATGTGTTCCTGTGTGGGAGAGAGAGTTTGAGGGGTGGGGCGAGTGAGATCTTATTACTCTGCTAAGGGGAGAGGTACACCCTATCACAAGCCCAGATCCTGGAATGCGGGAGAGAAGATGCAGTCATGGCAGATTGCTTCACGCCTCTGATCTTCCTCCAAAGGGCAGGATTCCTGGGTACATGCAGGATGCCTGACATTTCCACTTCCTTCCCCCCAGCACCTGCCCGTGTGTCAGCTTGCACACAGCAGCCCCCGTCACAAAAGTGGCCTGTGGAAGGATGGGACAGGGGCTCCTTGTCCTGTGGCAGAGGTATCCACCCCAAGGTTGCCTTGACAGCAGGATATTATAAATCATGGCTTCAGCCCAAGCTGTACTTTTCTTCCCGCCCCCATGGTGTTGAGGATTGAACCCCCGGCCTTTGCACTGCCCTGCATCCTCACCCCATTTTTTATTTTGTGAGAACACGGTCTTGCTGAGTTGCCCGGGCTGGGCTCAAACCTGCTGTCCTCCTGCACGAGCCTCCTAGAATGCTGGGATTACAGGTGTGTGTCACCACACCCAGCTGTGTGCCCTGTTTGTTTTCATTTTATGTTTTTGGGTTTTTGAGACAGGGTCTCAGGCTGGTTTTGGAGTTATTGTGTAGCCCAGGCTGGCCTTGGACTCATGGCAATCCTGCCTCAGCCTCCCAAGTGCTGGGATTATAGGCACATTCCACCATGGCTGACAGTGCCCTGATTTTTCTTTTTCTTTAGGGGCTTCTTTGAGGGGAGGGTGGTTTTTTTTCTTTTCTTTTTTGGTCCCAGGAATCAAACTCAAGGCCTCATGCTTGCCAGGCAGGCACTGCACCACTGAGCTACATTCCCGCCCAACAGTGCCCTGTGTTTAACTGGCATCTTCCACTGTAAAGTGTGAGGGCTGTGTCCATGTTGGGAGGGGGACAGTGATGCCACTGCATCTGGCTGGGGTCTGAGCTTCACACCCTTCATGCTTTGTGGGCTCCCAGCAGGGGGCACTTCTGTTCTTCAGCTTCACAGGTGAGGGACCTGAGGTGAGAGGGGTCAGATGACTTGGTAAGGCGACACTGCACAGCAGGGAAGAAGCTAAGTGGCAGATCTGGACTTTGAGCTTGGTTGCTTGACTTCTTGCAGTAGTAAAGAAAATGAGCAAATGCAGGAAAATAAAAGAAACCTCAGACACCAGAGGGTCAGAACTGATGACCACTGAGCACATCATGGCAGTCATGAAGGGACCGTCTGTGGGCACCCACCTGCCTACTGGCTGTACTTCCTGCCCTCCCGCTGAGGGACCCCCCCACCATTCTGTCCCTTGCCCTTTCTCACTTCCTGTGCACTTCCTTATGCCCCTGGGTCCCTTCTGGCTGTCATAGGCAAATCTTTTGCATGGTGTCCCTCCCCTAAATTGAAACTGGAAGGTCAGCACAGAGAGAGCTCAGTCAAGGTTATGTGTGACACTTTGTCAGCTGCTTGGTGGGGGGTATTAGGTTCGAACTCATAATCTTGTATATGCCAGGCAGGCGCCATGCCACTGCTGCATCTCAAAATGCACCAGAAACCTGGGTTGCCCAGACACTGATCCCATTTCCCCCCAGCCCTTCCTGAAGCCAGTAACAACCCTGCTGTCGCCAGCTGCCCACACGGAGGGCCCCTGTCTCCCTGTAGACCCACTGTGCCAGTTGCTTGTGGTCCCCTCGCTGTACCCTCTGCACTTCTAAGATGCATTCTCTTCCCCAGGATATGGGCAAGTTCTGCCTCACATACGAGGCCTCCATGACGCGACTCTTCCGAGAGGGGAGGACCGAGACTGTGCGCTCCTGCACCTCAGAGTCCTGCAAGTTCGTCCTGGCCATGGTGGACCCCACTCAGACGGTAGGTGCCCTCCGCCAAGGACACAGTTGAGCGTGTTCTCCTCAGGGAACTCCTGTGTGTCGTGTGAGTCCTGCCTGCCCCAGCTACTGCTCCCTCCCTCTTGTTAGGGAACAAAAAGTATTGAAAGAGCCAAGGGTGGTGACAGTGTGGACACTGTTTATACACTGGAAATCAGATTATGCATCCTTTTTTTTTTTTTTTGTCTTTTTCTTTTTTTATCAGTACCAGGGATTGACCTCACGACCACACACTTGCAAGGCAGGTGCTTATGCCACTGAGCTAAATCCCCAGCCCCTAAAGAGTCAGGGTGAGAACGTGGTGGCTGTCACATGGAAGCCTTGCCTATCTGGCTGTTAGCCTTGTTGGAGCCCCGTGTGCCATGATCCAATCACCTTCATAGATAAAGGAGCAGACTCCGATGGATTCTGCCACCTGCTGGGTTCCTGACTGGCAGGCGGCTGGGGTCAGGTCTGTGCCTGGGATTCTGACCCCACAAGTATTTTCCTGCAGCAGGCTGGGAAGCCTGGATCAGGGCTTTCTGGCTATCCAGCCAACTTCATTGTGGAAAGATACTCACTTCTGAGGAAAGAAGCCAGAGGACAGACAGGTGGCTCTGCTTGTCCCTTTTGGAAGCCTTCAGGAGGAGCCTGGAAGGCTGAGGCTTCTTGGGCAGGCCACAACCTTCCTGGACCTCCATGTAAAGGGCACGGGGTGGTCCCGCGGCAGAACTCAGAAAAACCTCTTGGGGTCCCATCTACAGGCCTGAGCTCAGGCCTGTTTAGCATAATTACTAGCCGGATCCAAGGTGACCTGAGGAATAGGTCTCTGTTCTGACATGGAGAGAGCACATATGTTGCCTGTTTAGCAATTATCTCAGTTTCACAGAGAAGGTGACATGGGACCTTGAAAATGCTTTGCCAACAGACACACCCTGCCACCAGTGTTGTGCAGGCAGGAATCTGGGGACAGACAGGGTGATTAGTTGGGGATGCCTTGTCTGCTGCCCACCCTGGCACATCTCATGGGGACCTTGTCGGCCAGTGTTCTGTCAGGGTGCTGGAGGGAAAGTGGCTGTCACCCTTCATTGGAAACATGGATCCATACTGTGCGACCCAAAATGTCTAACGCGTGTCCTTCCTGACCTTTGTCCTTTAGGCGGAGCAGAAGCTCAGGTTGTTTAAGGCAGCGTGTGAGAAGCATCAGCACATGTACCGCCTGGCCATGACCGGCGCTGGCATCGACCGCCACCTCTTCTGCCTCTATGTGGTCTCCAAGTACCTTGCCGTGGAGTCCCCTTTCCTGAAAGAGGTCAGCTGTCTTCTGGGGCAGAGCCCAGTGGCTTAGCGCGTGGACTTGCATATCAGAAGAGGCCCAGAGAAAGTGGGCCTGTGGGCGGAGCTGTCTCAAAAATGAAAGATTTGAGTGGCAGCTGTCTTGGTGCAGTTTTTCAATGACTGGCGATGCTTTGCTGTCATAATCACTCCCTGGGCTTAGTAGATGTGAACAAGCCCACAAGCTTAGATGACAGTAAGTTAGAGAGGGTTTGAGTATCTATCACCTTTTGTTTTTGTCTTAGTTAATTTTCCCTCATTGCTGAGACAAAATACTTTACATCTATAGTTAAAAAGGGAAAGGTTTACTTAGCTTATGATTTGTAGAAATTTCAGTCCATTGTCAGATGGCTCCAAGGCAGAGTGCCTTTGCAGAGGAGAAACAGTTCTTGTCAAGCAGAAATTAGCAAAACAAAAAGGACAGCCACAGTTCTCTCTGCCCCTTATCTCTTAGGGCATGTGGAGTGGGCAGCACTCACACCCTTAATCCTAGTGCCCTAGAGCCCTGCAGTGCAGCAGGAGTCAATTCTAGCATCACACAATCTAGATTCAGCCACCTCTAGAAAAGCCTCTGACTATGTGAAGCTTTGGGGGACATCTAGACACAAGCCAAAACAGTTTTTGTTTTGCTACTGTACGTTTGAGACAGGGTCTTGCTAATAGTCCAGGCTGACCTTGAACTCACAATTCTACCTCCTGAGTAATGGTGTTAGAGGCACTGAAAATTTAGCAGGAGCTGGTACAAGTCTGATGCCAGCGTCCCCAATCCAAATCATATCAAGACACATCTGCCACTTTCTCTGTCTGAGATACTGTGTGTTGTGTTAGCCCCATCCCACGGGCCTTCCCTGGTTCTGCAGTCACCAAGATGCTCAGACTGCATTCAAACTTGGTGATCCTCCTGCCTCAGCCTCCCGAGTGCAAGCATCGTAGGTATGTACTGCCGTCCCCAACTTCATTTTCTGTTTAATTCACCAGGTTTTATCAGAGCCTTGGCGATTGTCTACAAGCCAGACCCCACAGCAGCAGGTAGAGCTCTTTGACTTCTCCAAGTACCCAAACTACGTGTCTGGCGGAGGGGGCTTTGGACCGGTAAGTGCAGCTGGGGCTGTGATCCATGTTCATGGGGAGACCTGCTGGGTGGTGCCCTCCGGTGACTCATGTAAACTTCCTGGCTCTGCAGGTTGCTGATGATGGCTATGGTGTGTCTTACATCCTTATCGGAGAGCACTTCATCCACTTCCACATTTCTTCCAAATTCTCCAGCCCCGAAACAGTGAGTATGCAAAAATTTCTTTTTTATTTTTTGCCCCTTTTTTGGAAACAGTTCAGGCTGGCCTTGAGCTCACTTTGTAGCCCAGGCCGGTCTTGAACGTGAAACAATCCTCCTGCCTCTGCCTCCCAAGTGCTGAGATTACAGGCCTGCCACCATGCCTCGCTGTGTTTTTACTTTTTTTTTTTTTTTTTTTCATTTTTCTTTTTTTTAATCGGTACTGGGGATTGAACTCACGACCTCGAGCTTGCAAGGCAGGTGCTTATGCTGCTGAGCTAAATCTCCAGGCCCTATTGGTTTTACTTTTGAAGGAAGCACACAGTTAGTTTATCAGAAATTTTCAATTTCATTATCTGCATGTATTGGTTTGAACATTTTCAGAAATTCTCCTAATCTGATTTTAGAGAAATATATTTTATTTGGCATCACTTGCTTACCTGTGCTAGGAGAGGTAACTTGAAATCTTAACCTTCGTGTGCTTCTGGAGCTTTCCAACTCTATACCTTTCGGAAGGTGGGCAAAGAATAATGTGCACAAGCCACGAAATACACGTGATGGAGCAGGGGCTGCACGGTGTCCTTCATGGATGGGACAAGGGACCTCTTTCGTATGGCACACTTTGCCCTTATTTTTATTCTCCGTCCCACCTTGTACTTAGCCTTGAGCAGTGCCAAGTTTGTTTTTTTTTTAACTAAAATAAGAGGAAATCCTTAAAGATAGTTTATCAAGAAGGATATAGGTAATGGGAACAGGGGGCAGGGAAATGGTCACCACTGGGACGCTGGGATTCACTTGTCTGCTGTGTTCTATGGAATGCAGTGATGCCAGGGTCTCTCACCAACCCATCACCTGTTACCCCCGTGCCCTCTGTTTGCTTCAGCCAGGGTGTAGAGTACTGGGAGAAAGGCATTTGGATTAAATTCCGAGTCATTAGAAATGTGAAGGTTTGAGACACAGTCTTTCCAACACGCTAATGTGCTTTGCCTTTTGTTTTTGAACTGAAGGATTCTCACCGCTTTGGGAAGCACCTGAGAGAAGCCATGGGCGACATCATTGCCTTGTTTGGGCTCACAGAGAATTCCAGAAAGTAATTGACCTGGCGCCACAGTGAAGGGAAATGGACTCTTCTGAAACAAACCAAATGAAGAATAGGTATCAATCCTGGGTGTCGTTCAGGATGAAAGTTGCCCTTAGAAAAGTCGCAAGTTTTCCTTCCAGCAAGATCTCGTTGTTTCTGTCTCCCTGGAGCTGTTGGTACACTGTGAAAGGCGACCCTGCTACTTCTGGGTTGGCCCTGGACTTAGCACCCCCTATTGTACTTCTTAAGGGATTAGAGTATTACTGGGTTAACAAAGGAATTAGCAGGGTTGTGGCTTCACATGTATTGGAAATGTAAATGACATGCTTCCTCCAAGATGACCAGGTACCTGGTACTTGCCGGTCACAGCGATGTAAGCTTGGCTTCATGAAAAAGAAGCGCTGTTTCCATTGGCAGTGTAACAGTTACAGCTGACACAGTGCACTAGCTGAAAATGCTGTGCCTGGGGTTTGTCACCGGGTGTGACAGTCCTCGGTTTGGTAGCCTGTGACTGCGTCTCCATGCTTGAAGCGGGTCGTAGACCTCAGCCTTAGAGTTCCTTAGCCTGCGTGTCTTCAAACCCAGTGCCTTAAACGTGAAGGCGGGTGGGGGAGAGGCATAGGAAATGTTTATTTTGTGTCATCTTTGTGAAGGCGGGTGGGGGAGAGGCATAGGAAATGTTTATTTTGTGTCATCTTTGTGTGGCACTGGAGTCGGGGGGTCGTTGCCCCCTTCTCAGTTCGATGAGTGTAGCTAACCCGAAATAACTGTTTGCTATGGCTCCCCTTCCCTACAAGACCATTCCCCCTGCCAGGGGTAGTGCTGCTGGGTTCCGCTCCTTGGCTTTCTGTCACTGTTAGGCAGCAAACTAGACCAGTTGTGTCAGAAAGGGGAACAAAGGACACAATGGCCAGCTGCTACCTATTTGGAGATGTGGCTGAAGAATACAATGCTGTGCATGCCTCAGGATGAACGTGTCCCCTTGCTTACAAGTGAGGAGAGCCAGGCTCTGGCCACCGGGACAGCAGCGGAGTTTGAGGGAGGGCAGGTCCACCTCGCCATGGCCTGGAGATGGAGGTCTTCCTGGACACCAGCAGATTTCCTTCTGATCCCACCTGGTCAGAGAGGACTTGGTTCTCTTTCTAAAGGAGCTGGAGGTGGCTGGAAGTGGCAGGCTGGATCCTCTGGGTGACACAGCCAAGTGTCACAGCTGATGGGTACTAGGTGCACACAGCCTGTCCTTAGATAGGAGTGCCTTTACCGAAAGCGCCTGATTGACCACAAAGCAGTTAATCATCGTCTGTATTTACTGTAGATGTAAAGATCATGGAATAACATTCCCACTGCCCCTGTCTGGCCTGTTGTGACAAACTTACATGTCCAGTTTTTAAGCTGTGTATTTATTTCTCTGACCACTTTGTCCTCACCGGCTTTGCCCCACTTCTGTGCTCTGGTGGAACAAAAGTGCAGGTGTGGTACAGGAGTACACACAAGGCCCTCACTAATGAACAGATGCATACTTATTTGTGTATATTTTGCAGTGTAAAATTCCCACTTAAATGGGCCAAAGATTTTTTCCTCTTAAAATTAAGGAATTAAAAACAAAAGGAAAAAAACAACAGTAACATTCCCCCCAGATCTTCTGTGGTGTACACAGTGAGGCAGGTTTGGGGAGAAATCACTGCCTCTGCCCAGGCAAAGTGTAACTTCTGGCCAAGAGGCAGTGGCCAGCAGCAGTTTCTATCTGGGCCACCTGGATCGTGAAGTAATGACCACTGACCAGTCTATCACCATGCGTTCACACATGAATTAGTGCTCAAAGTGTTTGGGCTTCCTTCTCAGGTTTTAAATGTTTCAAATGTAATTGTTGCTAATCAGTGCAGTTATCAATGCAGTTTTATATTCTTTAAAGGAAAGAAGAGTGGGTTTTTATTATACATGTCAAAAGGGGGAGGTAAGAGTATTATGTATTTAATTTAATTTGGAACAAATGATAGTCTTAACTCAGCCACTGTTTGAATTTGTTACTGTAATCTGTCCTTGGCGTGTAAATACCATATGCTCTGTGGATGTAAGTCTTAGAAATGCATGATGTGCATGTAGGTTATCATTAATAAAACATTAATTCCTGTCCACTACAGTATGTGTTTCTGTCTCCTTTGTTACACTGATAAGGGGGGTGGATTATATATCACGTAGGACCCCAGAGGAGCAGAGTGGACAGCTGGGAGGAAAAACGTTCAGGCAGAGCCTGCTGATTTGCATTTGCATTCCTCTGTTCCTTTGCCCAGTGCCTGGCACATAGCAGGTGCTCAGCGAATACGTGTCCAGTGATGAATTTCGGTATCTTCAGATTTCATGAACATCTGTGCAAGGCACTGGGAACCCCCCAGCAGCCCTGCCAGGTTGCAGCTGTGGGCTCCAGCTCTGGGGAAGAGCTAGAAGATAGAGCCAGCCAGTGGCAAGGACCTTAGGTACCGTGTGTGGGACACACAAGAAGACCCTGGGGGGGCCGGGTGGAAGAGCGAGGAACACACCTGACGGAGAGTGGGTTGGAGAGATGCAGAGCCATCAGAACATCTAGGAACAGGTACGAGTGGCTGTGCAACACCGCATGATACTGTTCAGTCCACGCCCAGCTGGAGAGTGCATGTCAACTCTCGTCAGTTGGGATCTTGCTCGGGCTTTCCTTGGGCTCTGACTGCGTGCAGCTTCCTTTACATCCCCAAGGTTTGGGAAACCCCAGCTGGCTTCTCACGTTTGCACACTGGGATTATTCCAGCTGTAAAATGGGAGGAAGGCCATCCCACATGTGCAGATCCGGGAAATGAGGGCTGAAAGGCAATGAGATAGGTAACAGGTTCTGGAGAATGGCGGCATTATCTGTCATGTTGAAATTCTTCAGTAGGGCAGTGATGCCATTTATAAGGAGAGGCTGCCCCAATTTTCATCTGAGAAAAGCATTAGAACTTCCTGTGGTACGCTGCCCCACCCATGGAAACAGTGCAAGTGCCGGGGAAGTCTTACCAAATTCTGCCCCACATGGCAGCTACACCACCAAGCAAATGGCTTCGAGTCCAGTACATCTGTAATTAATTAACTAGTCTGGACTATATTGTAGGTGATTCATGAGGTAGGAACACCAAAACAGTGAGAAATTTGTTTGTACTGGGGGTTGAACCCAGAACCTTCTCATTGAGCTACATCCACGATGTTTTTAGTGCTTTTTTAGAGAAAAAAAGAAAAACAAAAAAAGGGCAGAAACAACGAAGAGTTTCAAAAAAAAGGAAGAAATCACTAGTTGATAAATGACATACTGTTATCTTAGAAGTAGTTGTTGAAGTTACAAAATCAAGGTATAAAAAATGGAGAATCAAACAATGACAGTACAGACTATTCTGTTTGAACTAACAAAAACAGTAGTATGATTATCTATCTTGCATACTTAACCATACAGTTACAGTCTTGAGAACACTTTCTCTTTCAATATTACAATATCTATTGTGCATTTTGGACCTTATTACTTTGTTTTTTATTACTTTTTATACTAGAGACACAATATTATATTTGCAAATATGAGTGATTTATTTCCAAAAGTGGGCATCTGAGATGAACACACAGTTCACAGATGAAGATACACAAATGACAAATACATGAAATGTTCACCATCACTGGTCATTTGAGAAATGCAAATTAAAACAGCGCTGAGGGGGCTGGGGATTTAGCTCAGCAGCATAAGCGCCTGCCTTGCAAGCAGGCAGTTGTGAGTTTGATCCCTGGTACCGATTAAAAAAAAAAAAAAACAGCACTGAGACTTCATCTCACTCAGAAAAGAATGGCTGCCATCAAGAAATCAGCCAGTAACAAATGGTGAAGCTGTGGGGAAAAACAAACACCTCCACTGTTAGTAGAAGTGTAGACTGGTACAGCCACTATAGAAATCAGTATGAAGATTCCTCAAAAAACTAGGATTGGAAGTTCCATTCAATCCAGCTATTCCCCTCCTGGGTATTTTCCCAGAAAAACTGAAAAAGTCATGTCACAGCAATATATGTGCACCCATGTTTAGAGCAGCACAATTGATAATAGCTAAACCTTGGAAACAACCCAAATGTCCATCAACCACAGAATGGATGAAAAACATGTGGTATTTTAATACAATGGAATACTACTCAGCTATGAAAAAGGATGATCTTAAGGCTTTTATAGGTAAATGGAGGCAACTTGAGACTGTCTTCATAAGTGAAATAAATCAGACTCACACTTAGTGTTTATTTTGAGACTGTCAGGCTGGGCTTGAACTGGTGAACTTCCTAATCCAGCCTCCTGGGCTACTGGATTTACAAGAGTGCAACCCCACTCCAAACACCAGTGTTGTGTTGCTCCCATTCCATGCTGCAGCATCGAGGATCGGAAGAGCATGGAGGTTACAAAGGTTGTACCAGCAAACCTGTTCTTCTGTCCACTGGCGATGCTTTGTCTTGAGAGCTCAAAGCGTAGAAAGGATTATCTTGATTGAGGTCAGTTATCAAGATAGCGTCTTAGGTAGAGCTGCTTCAGACTTACTGGGTGGCCTCAGTTTCCCAATTTGAGCCCGAAGCCGCTGATCCCGGTAGTGCTCCTCCATTCTCCTAAGTGAAGAAGCGACTGGGGCCCCGCCCCTCCCCTCCAGGCCGTGCCCACCCAGTAGTCTCCGACCGCGCCCCCATTCGGACTCAGGCTCCGCCCCCTCTCCGGAGACCCCGCCCCTTCAACTGCCAACGGCACCCGCGCTGGAGGCCATCAGCAGGAGGTTCACTGACTTCGGCCGTCGTCGGGCCTCCCGCTTCCCCTTGACAGGCCAAGTCCCCGGGGCTGCAGGCGGGGAGGAGGCGACGGGACCCTTGCCCAGCGGGCGTGGACCGGCGCCCCTCACGCAGCCGCTCGGAGCAGGTGCGCGGGGCGATGCCCGGCGCCGCGTCCCGGTGCCACCCCCATGGAAGAAGCCCCTCTGCTGGGCGCCCTGACGGGCCCCGACGATGAGACGGCCGCCGACCTGTTCGGCCCCGAGCGCGCGTCGGAGGCGGAGTGCCGCGCCCGGAGCCCCGCCACGGCGGTGCCGCCGGAGCCGGACGAGCTGCCGGTGCTGAGGGACGCCTACCTGGGAGTCGCCGCCACCGCCCCCGGCGAGGAGCCACCCGCCGCGGAGGACGCCGCGCCGCCGCCCGCCTACAGCCTGCGCGTCCTGTCGTCGCTGCTGCCTGCGCCGCTGGGCGCCGGGGTGCGGGTGATCCCAGTAAGCGCGGCTTCCGCGGGCGTCGCGCCCGCCGGGGTCGGTGACAGGCGCCGCCTCGCGGGCGGGCGGGCGGGCGGGAGTCCCGGGTCGCGTAGCCGGCGGGTCCGCGGTGGGGACAGGGGGCCCTGCCCTGCTCCCTGCCGAGGCGACCTTGCCCCGACTTCGGAGCTGGCAGCTCGGAAGCAAGTGTGTTGGCTCGGGCCCTGTTGTCACCGCGGCCCTGGGGAGGAAGCCCCTCAGTGGTAGCATAGTGAAGGGTCAGGTGTTCGCATCTTAGCTTCTAGTTTTTTGGTTTTGCTGCTAGGGTTGGAGACCAGAGCCTCGCTCATCCCAGGAAAGGGCGCTCTCTACCACTAAGCTACCTCTCCAGCCCATCTCACTCTTTTTTTTTTTCTTTAAATATATCAGGCTTGTTATTCACACCAAGGACTCCGTGCTTGTGTTTGTTGAAATTACGGTGTTGTTAGATGGGCCCTCAGGCAGTAAGAGCTAGTTCTTCAAGTTCTTGCAATAAAAATCAGAGCCTGAATAAATTTTGCTGTTTTAGCTGATTGCCTTCTTTGGCTACAGAGAGTCACTGCTAATTCTTTGCTTTCTTCTTGTTGAAACTAAAAGAATCAGGTCCCCCCCACCTCTTTCTTTTTATGAAATGAATCAGATTCCCAAGGAAGCAAAATGTGACCTCCTCCACCACCACCAAAGGTCCAGCTTAGAACGCTAGATTTTACATCCATTCAAGAATTTTAGGGTCTAATAAGCCTTTGTGTAATATTTTTAGATTGGAGCTTTACTCTGTATGGCATACGCCATGGCTGCACAAGCTCAGATTTCTGCTTTTCTGGTTCTCTTTTGCCCTAATCTATGCTCTAGTGCACAGGAAAAGGTGGGGTAGAGCATGGGGCCTCTGCCAGTCTCCCCTTGACCTTAGAGGAACCTCAGAGTTGCAGCCTTTTCCAGGGAAAAGACCTCCCTAAGAACCTTTCCAGCTGACTCCAGACCTGAGAAACCCGTCTTGCCACCAGGCGGAGCTGGGGTCCCAGCATGTCCTGCCTGTCTGGTCCCAGCTCTTGTCCCTCAGAGGGTTGGAACAGGGCAAGGAACTAGCTGATGTTAAAGACAGCACAGTTCTTCCTGATGTCATCCAGGTTTGACAGATTGCTGGTCTGACAAAAGAGAGACTTTGCCTTTTGAATTTTTATGGACTGTTTGCTAAATATACAACTTGGGCATGTTAGCATTTACACAGTGCCATTATTTTAAAGTAAATATCCAGATGAATTGCTATTGTCTTTTAACCCCTCCTGGACATTTATGTGCACTATTGCCCTTCATTTAGATTTAAAGCAGAATTTTATTGTAGTGTAAATGGTTGAGACAATATTTGCATGGACTCCAGGACATTGATACAGCATTTGTTGGTTATAGGGAGACAAGTGAAATCTGAACTTTGATGGAATGTGACTAGAAGGAGCAAGCAGGAGGAAAGTTCAAGATTTCTGCATTTTATCAGATTTGGAATGTTTAAAGCTATAGCTTGAGAGCTAGGTAAATTTTTCTGTCTCCTCTAGATTTATTCCCAGGTGCTAATCTGCCAGGGTAAGGATTTGCCAGTCCGTGGTAGTTGCTACTCTCTGGGCCTCTGTGTTTGAGTTACCCCCGTGTTTGGTAAGGTAGTCCCTATTCTGTGATTTCCTGTGAGGCTTTGGGATGTTACCTTGGGGTCAGCACCCACTCTGAAGGACCCTGACCGGCCTCCTGGCCTTCTAGGAGGCTCACCTATGTTCCGACAGGCAGCCCAGGTCGGTAGGGCTGAGCTGGTGGGGACCTTCCTTACACTCTTAGCAGACGCTCGAAGGAAGCATCCTGATTTTCAGACTCTCAATTCTGATGATGATTTTTCTTAACCACTGGGGACCTTTCAGTATTTACGGTTCCACTGATTTTTCAGTAATGTCATTTTGTTTCTTCCTGCTTTTTGTTGTTTTGCTAGAGTGTCTTTGAGTTGAGAGTTGTCACAGAAGAGTGCTTACAGATGAAGCTGGTGATTATCCCGTCACTCGCTGTTTCATGTTAATTACTGTCCTATTTTGTCAGGAAAGGACTACTACCAATGGTATAAATATTACTTTAAATACATCTGCAATGATAAATTATAAATACCACTAAGATATCACTGAAGATCAGGGAACTCCATTTTGTGTGCTTTAATTTTGTAACTTGAACAACTATTTCTAAGATAACAATCTGTAATCTATTAACTAGCGATTCCCTACTGTTTATTCTTTCTGAAATTCTGTATAACTTGTACCCTTTTTGTGTTTTTTTTCTTTTTCTCCTTAAATAAAATTTTAAAAAAATCTAATAAAAAAAAGACAAGAAAAAAAAAAAAGATCAGGGCACTCCTAAGGTAAAAGCAGAATAATTGATGACTGTTTGAACACAACCCACTGAGCAAATTTAAAGGGTGTATGGTAAAGGGGATGCTCTAGAGGTGTCACCAGGTTCCCCACTCCGGTGGAGCAGGGGCTGTTACCCAGTACAAGAGATATGTCACCAACTGTGGAATGTCACAAGCACCACATACAAATTTCTTTTCCTTATCTCACAGTTTTGGTCCTGAAGTGTTCTCCGTCCCCTGGGGCTGCAGAAATGACTTGTCACCTTTTCTAGGGAGGTGATTTAGGGAGGATAAAGGCTTCAGACACACTTGGGGAGAGGGGGAGGGAGGACGGCACAGTACTGTACTTTAACTCAAACTTACATATGGATCTCACGTTTGCTCTGTATTGTACAATGTGTCCACAAGTGTTCTCTGAAATAAAGATTGCTTTTCCTAGGTCGAAATAAAGGAAGCAGGTAGCACTGTGACAAGTAATCTGGAGGAAGCAGCTTTCCCAAACCCTCTTGTGCAGGAATCCTGTTGTAAGTTTCTATCATCCCAGGAAGCGGAGGACGTGGCCAGCTCCTCTCCTAAGAAAGACTCCAGCCCGATGGTAACTACCGTGGGTGTTCCCTGTGTCAACCCGATGTCACCAAGCAGACAGATACCCATCTGTTACTTCTCAACTTATTTACTTGTTGGGTCAGCACTTCAGTAGGGGGTCCATCTGCAAAGGGGGGACTGTCATGATAGCCTTGGACATTTTACCTTTTACCTCTGAGATTCTCCTTTGTACTTGATCTTAGCCAATCAAACAAGAATGGGATGTTGCTGTGTCCTTAAGGAGAGTAACCACAAGTGATTTCCATCCACCATGAGCTGGGCATTGGGCACTGGGTGGGAACAGTTGAGCCCCATGTTTTGGCATGCTGGTGGGGATGCTATAGCTTCAAGGCAGAGGGCCCCCCTTTGGTTCCTTCCTTTCTTCCTTCCTTTTTTCCTTCCTTCCTTCTTTCCTTTCTTCCTTCCTTCCTCCCTTCCTTCCTCCAAATATCTTTGTTTTTTTCTTTTTAAATTTATTTATATGTATTTTTTTGAGACAAGGTCTTGATATACAGTGTATAGTTCAGGCTGGCCTTGAACCCACTATGTAGCCAGGCTGGCCCCAAACTCATGGCAGTCTTCCTGCCTCAGCATCCCAAGTACTGGGACTACAAGCGTGTGCCACCAGAGCCAGCCTCCTTTCAGAATTCTGATGACAACAGTTAGCACTTGTGTAGGAATCCAATCTGTCACTCCTGGAGTTTACACCTCTGCTGTTTCATTTCATCCTCCTAAAACTCTAGGGCGAACATGACTTTTATCCTTGTTTCATGGACAATAGAGACATTACTGACACTGTCTCCATTAATCTTCACCATTGTCGTCATAAGTGATGTGCCTAGAAGTTCTGATCTTACGCAGTGAAGACCAGGCCTGGGGTCCCCAGGGGATGTCCTTTAGCAAAGTGCTCAGTGACTGTCATCCCTCCAGCAGCTTTCTAGAATGAGACCCCAGGCTGGGGATTTAGCTCAGCGGCATAAGTGCCTGCCTTGCAAGCACGAAGTCGTGAGTTTGATCCACAGTACCAAAAAAACAAAACAAAACAAAACAAAACGGATGAGACTCCAGCTCCAGTGTACACCCGTGATTCTGGGAAGGAGCATCTCTGTGTGGTCCCCACACACTTAGGCCACAGGTATAGACAGTGTCCAGGAAATACTTGCAAATGAGCTCCCCGTGAAATTTGGCTTAGCTATTGCACACACTTGCACCCCCCTCTGACTGTGATTCTGCTCAGGTCCTGGGTCTGACAGTGGAGATTTTCTGGGGCCTGAAGACCTGCAGGATGACTGAGTTGATGTGGCTTCTTAAAACTGCCCCCTGACTTCCCCAGGCTGCAAGTGGATGTTGGTAGAGGCTCTGAAGGGTCCACCCAGGAGTGCACAATACAGAGCGGCCTGTCCTCAGGTTTCCCTAGTTTATTACACATGTGTGTGCATTGCTACAACTGTGTCCATCAAATACAAAGAAAATACCACTAGATATGAGCATTGGCCTTTCATGGATTGTCAGGGGCAGGGACCTACCCTTCCTACCCTCTCGGCTCTCTATTATTTTGATGACATTGACCTTTATGCTCATCTGAATTTTCCTGTCCAACACCAGTGGTGTTGTCATTGGAATTGGGAACTCTGTGGGGAAAGAGATCGTGGCTCATTTGGCCATTGTGTCCATGTTTTATGTCACACCGAAAGCTCCATCAGTGCTTTTGCTTGACTGATAGGAGGGACTGACAGACTCGCTGAGAATTTGTTAGTAGTCAAAAGCCAAATAGGGAATCTGATGGTGAGTGGCAGGGCCAGCAGGGTTGATGTGGCTTCTTAAAACTGTCTAGTTCTTGGATTAACTTTTCTAAACTGTCAGAAATAAACAGATGTATAAAATGTATTAAATAATAATGTGTGTGGCAGGAGAGAACAACACAGTAAAACTGAAATTTAGTCTTCATATGTGCCCAGTCAGGTACATAGTAAATGAATGGAAAGAATATCTTGTGTCCTGTGTGAGCTGGGAAGGGAACCCAGCTAGGTCTGAAAGGTGCCAGGGCCCACAAGCAGCCCACTCCTACCAGTGCAGGCTGCAGAATAGAGCGCAAGGTGCAGGAAGCTCTGCATGTGGTCACCCGGTCCTCACACAGCCTCAGTGGCCGGACCCCTGTGCGGGAAGACAGGAGAAGGACCAGTGTCCACAGAGCACAGTGCAGGAAACGTCTCTGGGAGGTGTAGGGAATGGGTACCCTAGAGGAAGAAATGGAGGATGGATCCATAGTTTGCCAACTTCCCCTAAATTCTGGCTGAAAGTGCTTTTTTTCAGATTTGAGTTTGCTTCGGTTCAGATGACTGCAGGGATGAGACCTGACTGCTGTTTCTCATTTTAGGTGATCTGTCAGTTGAAAGGGGGCACACAGGTGCTGTGTATAGACAATGCTGGCACAAGAGAACTAAAAGCCCTTCATCTGGTTCCTCAGTATCAAGACCAAAACCACTGTCTACAGTCAGGTACAGAGTAAATGAATGGAAAGACTGTCTTGTGTCCTGTGTGAGCTGGGAAGGGAATATGGTTGGCTTTAAGTACAGAGTACAAATGGAAGAGACATAATAGTAAGCAGATGGTTTGGCACACCTCCTGGGCCACAGTAGTGAGTGACATACTCTTAGGACGGTGTCTGACAGTATCCACCCCCGATTCTGGGAAGGAGCATCTCCGTGTGGTCCCCACACACTCAGGCCACAGTAGATGTTGAACTGCCTCGCATGTCCCATCACCAGGCTTCTTGGCATTCCAGCAATCTAAAACCAGGGTCAAACCCGGATAGTTTATGTTGGCCTGTGAAGTCTAGAGCAAGAATAGAAAATGTGACTGCTAATCTCCACATTCCCTCCTCTGGGGACAGGCAAATGTCTCCATGACATTCACTTTCCTGTGGTGGGTGAGCTGGGGCTGGGCCTTCCCCGAAAAGGCCCCTGGCTACGCAGGAATCTCAAGCCTCGGTTCTCTGATCCCGGGAATCTCAAGCCTCGGTTCTCTGATCCTTGTAGGTCACACACAGCAGCATCTATAATATTCTCTGCATGCAGAAAGATATTTTTTCCTATGGCAAAATCCTAACTCCTTCAATTGACAGAAAGAGAAGGTTCATATAATATTTTCCAGTTCAGCCTCTTTGGAAGGTGGTACCGGTCCCTCCCTAGGCTCCTTGCATATATGAAATATGCTACTTGTATATTAAACATCACCATAAAATAGTGCATCCTTGAACCTCAGATCGTGCTCACTCAATGGATAGAAGCCCAGAGAAGGAAGTTTGCTCAGTTAGCAGGGGTGGGCACTCCAGAGCACCAGTCTGCAGCCTCCTGTGTTTCAGGGGGTGTCCCATAGGTGTCACTGATCTTTCATCGAAAATGTAAACCTACCCTGTGCCGCCTTGGTGAATTTGCTGCAGCCCTTGTAAAGCCTGTCACAGCTGGGGAACCCGTGCAGTAATAATGTTCTCTTACCATAGTGAACTATCTCTTGGGGACTGAGATCAAGTAACTTTATGACAAAGAAACAACAACTGAAGGTTATAAGTGAAAAAAAATCCTGCTTTAAAAGGTTTTATCAAATAAAAATACGAGTAGATTAAGTAACTTTGTATATGATAAATTCAGAATGTATTTTGGTACTTTCATCCATGTACAAGTGTAAGGAGAATAATGTATGCTACCAATTAATTTTAATTGTATTCCTTACAGATGGCCCCAAACCACTGACTACTTTAGTAGGAAGATTCTTGCCAGTACCAGCAAAATTAAATCTCATTACACAAGTGAGTCATTTTTTTTAAAGCAGAATATATTTATTGAAAGAAAGGAAGCTTCTGTCCAAGAAAGACAGAAGGGGTCCCAAGTGGGTTGCCGAAGATCCTACCTTTTCAGGGGTGTTTATAGAGTGAAATCATGAGGTGAGGTGGGTCCATGGTCAACCAATCAGATTCTGAGTGTAGTTACTCAAGGTGAAATTGATTAAATCAGGATCCGATAGGAAGTCGAGTCACATAGCAAGAGGGCATGAATATAGGATAGGATATTTGCTGGTAAAGGCTGGGTTAATGGCTCCTTCTGGCTTCCTCAAGGTGATTGATACCTATTTAGAAGTTTAGTTCTTGACATTTATACTTAGGATGTGGTTGCGTTTGTTTTGCCTTTTGTCTTGAGATCTGGCTGGCAGCAGAGGTATCTTATCTCTTCCAACGTTGTAAAATATCTGATCTTTTGCACTGGCTCCTTCAAGAGCCTAGTCCTGTCTGGCTGCCTATAATATTTCTACCTAACTCAATATCCTATAACATTCCCCTTTCTGAGGAAATACCCCTAACTGCCCTGAGGGAGAAATGGGCGATCACCCACGTGGCTTCTTCCGGGGGTCGTAATTGTTGGCAGTCAGAGACACTCTGCGATAGACAGCAGGCACTTTCATCTTGGGTACGCATGCAGATTTAAGTCTGGAGGAGACAAAGCCAGAGAAACAGTTAAGTATGCATGGGCCAAATAATAGAATCAACAGGATAATTACAAGTACAGTTAATAAAGATTTTCACCAAGAGGAGCTAGTAATGGCTTCCCATAAGGAGGATAGGATAAGGTCCAGGGAATTTCAGAGTCTGAAGTGTCATTGAGATATTAGCAGAAGGATGAGGAACGTACACACAGCATTCGGTTTTTACAGTTGCATAAGTACCCCGCTGTGCTGCTGCTAGAACATCAATGCCATCTGATTTTTGGAGGACAGCCTGTCTCATTAATTTTACTTCTTTATTTAGGAGAGACCAGCTGTGGTGTCATTTAGGCCTGTTGAGTATAGTTAAGGACTTGATAGGTATCATATAACTGTTTGGGCAAGATCTGATAGATTCTAGTAAAAAGAATTTAAAAGGTATCTAGTATATTATTGGTTTTATCTGTATCATTACTTGGGGTTTGACACCCTTTAGGCTAGAAAAAGTTGTAAGTAAAGCATGTATAATCACACTATGTATCCAAAGTCGTGTGTAATCAAAGTGTAAGCATTAGAGCTGACAAGTTTTTTTGTTTTTTTTTTTTGTCTTTTTTATCGGTACCGGGGATCAAACTCACAACTGCCTGCTTCCAAGGCAGGTGCTTATGCCGCTGAGCTAAATCCCCAGCCCCTAGAGCTGACAAGTTTTAAAAACTGCTTTTAAGGGGACCATTGGCTATTAGGTCCCTTTACTGATGAGTCTGAAATTTTTTAATAATCCCTCTAAATTTTTGATAATATATGAGAACCAGATTAATACATTATTTTGACCAATGAAAAACTCTCTTAAAGTTTGTATATGAACAATATGTACTGTATTTGAAAGACTAATCTCAGCCTTGCTGATTAATTGGCAAGCTGGATATATATATTATAGTATTTAGACAGGATAAAATTTCTCCAGGGGTGGGGGCTGAGCTTTTAGGCATAGCTAAAAGGAATGTGTGAAGAGAAAGTTATCCTAGTTACAGTACAGCTTAAGTAAGATATTTTTTTGGAGACTGTTTCATTGAGGTATGATGCCTGGAAGGAAGGCCAGAGTTGAGAAGGACAGAGGCATGTGCCAATGGCCAGCAATCGGCTAGTTTTTACCATTCATGACAGAGTCATTGTTTTAATTCAAAAATACGATTGGGCATTATTGTGTCTTGAAATTTCAGTTGTTGCAGTTGAACTCAGGAATAGAATTTATCCTCCAGTTAAAAATCAGGAGTGAAACAGTTATCAAGTATTGGATCCCTTTAGTCCCAGGGCAGGCATGGGTGATACAGGGGAACAAAACTCCTGACCTACTATATGTTTGTGTTCTCTAAAGTTGAAGATGGAATTTTAGGAATAACGGAGGTTAAGAGCAGAAAGATTGAGAAAGAAAGCTTCTGTCAGAGAGAGACAGAAGGGGTCCTGAGTGGGTTGCCAAAGATTCTGTATTTTCTAGGGACTTTTATACAGTAAAACCATGAGGTGAGGCGGGTGTAAAGTGGGGAAACTAGGAACTTGTGAGGTAGATGGGCGTGAGGTGGGACCGAGCTATGGTCAACCAGTGGTCAACCAAGAAGTTTAACTGTTTAGGTAAAACTGACCAAATCAGGGACAAATTGGGAAGCGAGTCACAAAGCAAGAGAGCATTCTTAGGGATCAGTGTCTCTTCCTGTAGGGGGTTGGGATGGTGACTCCTGGCTTCTCAAGGTGATCCACACCTAATCCCTAAAATTTATACTTACGAGTGTGGTTGCATTTATTTTGCTTTCTGTCCTGAGATCTGGCCCACAGCAAGAGGTTGTGTGTCTCCTCCAAGGTCACCAGACATCTGGTCCTCTGTGCCAGCTTCTTGGAGGGCCTAGCCTTGTCTGACTGCCTATAATATTTCCAACCAGCTCAGCTGCCTGTAACATGGGCAGGATGGAGTGAGGAGACACGATTCCTTGCCAGTCCAGGGGGACCCGAGTTGCCCTTCTCTGCAGCCTGCTGACCCTCACCATGTCCCCTTGCTAACCTTGTGTTTTGCAGTCCCACCATGCCTCAGAGCTGTGGAGCTCCTTATTTCAATTGTGATGGCACCATACTACCCACATATTGCATATAATTAGGAGACCCATGCTTTTGTCTCTTAAGATCTGCCAAAGGGTGTTCCTCCCCACAAGAGCCTTCTCGAATTCCCCTGGCACAGCCAGCCAGTCACTGGAACAGCTGGTTTCTTGCTCTGTACAGTACTGTGACTGTCTTCTGTTGTCTGCATAGGCTCAGAGTCCACGTGTGTCATTCATTTCTGTAAACTGAGACCTGGCAGAAGGCCCGTCGGGTGTGGGAACTTTGCTCACTTGCATCAGAACAGGTGCTGGCCTGAGACATTACGCACTCACAAATGAAACAAAGCAAAGCATATAACTACTCTCCTGCAGCTTACAGTTTAGTGCAGGAGGCAGGCAACAAACAAACTTAATAAGTAAATGACAGTGTGTCAGGAGAGCAGAGGAGGAGGATTAGGGGTCTGGGGGCTCAGTGAGAGAGGTGGCTTTTAGGTTTAAACAGGGTGGTCACCTTTAAACCAGCTCTATGTCTCCAGGTGACGTCTGAGGAAGTCTTGGAAGTGGTGAGTGAGCATGTGGTTATCACAGGAAGAGCATTCCAGGGAGAGGGAACAGCACAGGTCTCAAGGAGACTGCAAGTGACAGCAAGGCGACATGGCTGGGGGGGGCAGTAGGGAGGGAATGCAGGTGGAGGGCAAGACTGTGGCTTTCACTCTGCTTAGAAAGGAGCTGCTGCTTGGACTGGGGATTTAGCTCAGCAGCATAAGCACCTGCCTGGCAGGCACTAGGTCGTGAGTTGGGTACCAAATGGGGGGGGGGGGCGCTGCTGGAGGAGGATCAAAGTGGAGGCAGATGGACCTGCGGCCATTGTAACCTCCATGCAAGATGATGGTGGCTCAGACCAAGTAGTAGCAACAGGAGTGGCAGGAGGTGGCTTCTCAGGACTTTGTAGTTGAGCCAACAGGATTTGTGGCTATTAGACTGGATGAAGGATATAGAGATGGAGGAGTCAAGGGTGGAGTAAGTTGGAGGCACAGCTTCTCAGCAGCTCTGTGAAGCCACACAACCTGCAGACCTTGATGGCACCCCTTTTGCTGATTTTCAGCCTGAACAAATGAAAAGGTGGAGTCCGCATCCGAGAGATGCACTAGTGTCACTGTTTCAGGGGAGTGCAGGAGTTCCAGTTCTGCCTGAGCTAGCAGGCGGAGGGGTCTCTGGCGCCCCCTGCAGGAGTGAGGAGGTGAGAGGGGAAGGTCTGAGCAAGAGTGAAGCTGAGCTCACCGGCACAGAGAGGGTAATGAAAGCAGTGTGAGCAGAGGAGTCTGGGAGACAGACGGCAGGTGTGAACAGTCTAGGAGACAGCAGGTGTGCATAGATGGGATCTATTATTTCTCAAGTTAGACGTCAGCCAGGAGGAAAACTATGCTAAGGGGTGCAAGAGACAGATGGTCTAGGCCACAATTGGTGAGCAACCACTCTGGAGCCTGCTCGTGCTGCGTAGATACCTCGTTCTGTGGCTTTGTCCACACACACCTCTCTGTGTGAGCCACCGTCCAGGAAGGCGTCCTCACACTTGCGCTGCCACCTCTAAGATGCAGCATGAGGAAAGCCAGTGAGCACAGCCTCCTGCCGTCGCCGCCTCTCCTTTCACAGCACGGACAGTTCTTTTAACACTGCAGTTGTCACATCCCAAGGATGCCTTGCTTCCCTGTCAGACCCCAAGTTCTGTGTTTCTTAGAACCACTCCATTCAAAGCATGGTGCCCAATGACAAAGACTGGCATTCCCTTGGAGCCTGTTAGAAATGCAGAGTCTCAGGGCTCACCCTGGCCTTAGACAGACATTATGAATGAGAACGTGCATGTTAACACCCCCAAGGTGGTTTGTGCACACAGGAACAAGGATCAGCTAGAAGCAACACCTTAGGGTTCACTCCTGGGAGCCAGACATCGCTGAGGGAACCCACAGGTTCTGGCATAAAGTTGTCCTAGATTAATAACCTATGCAGTACCTAAGAGGCATCTGTGTTTCCTGCCTTACTGTGAGGCTAAATAAGCAAAATGGGAGGAGAAGTCACTTTACCTAGTTTATCCAAAAAGGAACTGTGAACTGAGAACTGTGAAATTCCCTCTCCCGAAAGGATGCAAAACCCTCAGGCTGCTGTTTGGATATGGCAAGGAATGCCCACAGCTCAAGCCAGAAAAGAGTGGGGACCTTGGGAGGAAGCCTCGCGGGCCTCAGGATTCTGATGGGTCCTCAGACAGGCACCCCCTGGGCAGTTTCCCAGGGCCTTCCAGCCTCACAGGTGGTGATGACACCAGACCGCAGGAGGGACAGGAGACAGGAAGTGAAGAGAACGGATAACGGGTGCTTTTCCCACACTTCTGGGATAAAGCTCACTTTAATTTCCATTTTTGGGGGGTAGAAGGACAAGGATAGCATGTTTAGCTATGATATCTGCAAAGCATTTCAAATCTAATTTTATCCCATACTCAGAAGAAAGTTAGGCCAGTGTTACTTGGCTCCCCACCCCTTTTCCTGCACCTCGGCGATAGAAGGGAAATTAAGCCTGAGAAAGCAGAGGACCTAGGTGGTGCACAGCTGGAGGGGCTGCTTTGGAATGTGTTAAAATTCCAATTTTTTTAATAGATGAAAAATAGTGACTACCAAAAAACATCAAATGTCAAAATCTCTAAGAGCATAACAAGAATGCTTTTAGTTTATGGAAAGTTGTAATTGCCTTTATTTCACAATTGCTAATTCATAAAAAGGAGCTAGAGTTCTATTGCAGTACCCCCACCCCAGCAGCCAGCCTCCCACTGTGGCCCTGCAGCCCCACTTCTGTCTCTCTGTGTTCTGGAGTCCTGTGGCTATGTTAAATGGTTGCCACTGGATTACTTGCATTGATGATAACCAAAAAAAAGAAGTAAACTCGCATATCTTGCAACTATGTGAAACTGAGGCCAAGCTAGAAATGGCAACAAGCCCCAAAGCTTGGGCACAGCACAGGGGACAGTGGAGTGGAAACCCCGGGCTCCCCCAGAGCAGGCTTCCCTGGAGATAGCCTTGACCTGGTGTGCTCAGGTGGTAGTGGATTCTTTGTGGTAATAAGGCCTGGACATGGTTCAAAACAGACTGTGATATGGACCCAGAGTGGTGAGGGTAGGGATTTCAATGATACCCACAGCCCGCTGAGGGAGAAGGATGTTTATCTATGCACAGAGGCCAGCTGGCTGGAGCGCTAATGCGAAACATTTTCCCTTTGCCTTTGGACAGCTTGACAATGGTGCCCTCCCGTCGACAGCCAGTAGCGGGCCTGCTTTCCCTTCGGAACCAACTCTTCCAGGGCCACCGAAAATAACCTTGGCTGGGTAAGGATTAAAAGCAATGCATTATCACTTCCTTTAATGTAAGAGTCACAGAGGTTTTCACATACTGTTGGGGTTTGCTGTTATACCACAGAGTTAGCTTCAGAAAGTTTAGCTCCGACCTGACCAGAGCCCCTGACAACCTGGCCGTGCACATGTGGTTGGTTGGTGTTGCTGTAAAGCCTGGTCTAGAGCAGCCCTTGATTCCCGCTCCACTGTCCCCTGTTCTGCGCCCAGGCTTCGGGGCTCGTTGCCATTTCTAGCTTGGTCTCAGTTTCACATAGTTGCAAGATGTGCTGTTCTATTTCTTTTTTGTTGCCATCCATGCAAGTAATCCAGTGGCAGCCACATCACACAGGTGGTGACTGCAGACTGCAGAGCTGCCTCTGTCCGCCGCCTCCCATGCTAAGCCAGTGCCACCTCTGTGGTAGGGTCCTGGAGAGCCTATCCATGCCTCTGATGGATGTGGGCTGCTCTGAGCTGGGACCTTGTCTTGCCATTTTAAAGTAGTGTTTTTGACCATAACTAATTCAACTAACCAAGCTGGTTGAAATGCTTCGTCAGGTTCACATTTGTGTGCTGACCTTGGTCTGGGTCGCCCTTTCTCCTGAGTCCTGAAGTGAATCGGTGAGATCAGTCTGTCCTTGCCCCTGAGGGCATTGTGGCTGAGTCTGTGTTGTCATGAGTCTGAGGCCTGGAGGACACCAACACCTTGGGAAAGGCAAACTGGCATCTGGGAATGGCCAGCTCCTGCAGGGTCCATCCATGGGCACAACATAGCCTTGGTAAGTGCTAAGAGAGCTGTTGTAGGAAGCCAGGACTGAAAGACTGTTGAATGAAGTCCCTTGGGGTCCCTAAAGACAGACAGAGTCCGGTCTGCCCTTAGAGCTCTGCTTTGGCGCTGGGAGGTGGCAGTATGTGGGACTTGCTGACTCGGTTTAAGCAGGTTTTCCTTCAGCCGAGGGCTGCCAGTGACTGTGATGGACAGGAACTATGTGGTGGCACTGTCCTTGCTTCACTGTCTGCTGTGATGGGTCATCAGGACACAGTTGGTATTGTCATTGGTCATGTTGTCATTAACATTTCTGGGAGAAGCAAAAACTTCTTAAGAACCTTCTAGCTTCTGCTGATAGCACTGCATCTTCAGTTGCATGATGTAACCTGAGATTCCACGAGCCTTGAGGTGCTCATGGGAGCTTTGTGTGCTCTGGGTCCATCTGGTCAATGATACTGTGCCATCGTGTGCTCCTGAGTGTCTGGAACTGCGTGGGCAGTCTATATTAGATTTTCTCAGCCATGTGTCTTTCTTTATTTTGAAGTACTTATGCAAGATACAAAAGCTGTTCTCATTATAAGTGATGTAACAGGAGCAATATGAGCTTTTTTTTTTCTTTGCTGTAATAATTACTCAAATCACCATCAGTGTTCTGAACCATCTCTGATGATTTTCGTCTCAACACCCGCAGCAGTAATGCTGTTCAGGACTCTGCCAGTTTCTCATTAGTAAGAAGGGAGCGCTCAGAGAGCTGTTGCTGGTAGTTTTGTTCTGTATGTCCCCAGCTACCGATTGACTACATTCTTCGCCCCTGCATACGCCTTGAGGGCCTTCTTGTGACTTCCACAAGATACCAGGGTCAGCCTAGGTCTTCAGATATCAGAAAAGAAGCTCTGTCAGCCTGATACGGTTCCAACCTATCTAGCTGAGCTGGCGATGCAGATGCAGAACTGACCCAATGTCGTTCTCAGAGCTGGTTACTGACCTGGCTAGCTCATTAATCTTTGGTTATCATAGTACTAAAAACTCTCTTAATTAAAGCCGTAATTAAAGTCCTGCAGGTCTCATGAAGGTGAATTTTCTGCTTTTGTTGGCCCTTTTTACTCTAATAGCAATGACGTTGATGATTTTTATAGACTGGCAAAAAAATGATGTTCCACTATTATTATATCGCATTAATAATGTGATCCTCAGACAGGTTATAAATGTGAATCCTGACCCATAGCTGATGCTTTCATTTCTGGTGATGCCGAACTTCATGATGAAGACTATTCAGAGCCTGAGTCTCTGGAAGTTTGTCCTAACGATGAGGCGACCTCTCCTGGTGGGCTGGGTCATTATAATGCTGCTCTGAGGCGGTATAGAGTTCTGACTTTTAGGCTGGCCCAAGAGATGGCAAGTGGAAGTCTTTCACACCTCATTGCCGTTACGGTGGGCGCGTCCCTTCCTGTCCCCTGCATACCGTTTACTCGCGGCTAACATGGTGTCCACTTGTGGTGCTTTTTCACATGAGGCATCTTTTGACCCATAATAAAGAAACTGCAACCTTAAACATAATCGGTTCTACTTCCTTCAGTAGTAGTTTAATTTTTTCATATGTATTAAATTACCCTGGGCCTGAATTACAGCATTTACAATTATCATAAAACAACATTGTCATTAACAGTGAATTATGTACTATGTTATGCTCTCTGCACTTTGAGTTTTCTATCTAATGTCTCAATTATATCTGGTTGATTCTTCCATGAGAGATGCTATAAATTGAAAAGATACTTATTTCTCATATCCTTTGAAGCCCTCACCTCTGTCCTGACCATGTGACACAGGCCCTTAATCCAAGCATGCTGGCTGTAGAAACTCACTGAACCCTTACTGCCTCGGTGTCTTAGAACTGGCCGCAGAGAGACTGCTAACCAGGGGGCTCAGACCCAGGGACAGAAGAAATGCTTGGCTCCCTTGGGCATAAGAGCCTGAATTATAACCATAAAGCAAACCACACAGCATTCATCCTGCACCAAGTGCTGTTCTAGATCCTTAAAAATTTTAGGCTGGGGCATAGTGGTGCACACCTGTAATCCCAGCACTTGAGAGGCTGAGGCAGGCAGAGTGCCATGAGTTTGAGGCCACATAGTGTATTCAAGATCAGCCTGAACTACATAGTGAGATCCTGTCTTAAAAAAGAAAGAGATTTAGGACTCAGTGTGCTCTTGGCCAGAAGCAGCAGTGCCCTGCAGAGACAAAGCCAAATGCCCGATCTCCAGGAGACTTTGCCCAGTGCAGTAGCTGCTCATCTGCCAGGCCCTGCTCGTACTCTTGAGTTTCCCCATGTCCCTCCTTTCACGGCCACTAGTCCCACTTCTGTCGTGAGGTCTCACACTGAGTATCACGTCTGAACAATGCCCACATTTAACACCTGAGCCGCGGCATTCTTCCTTCTCCTCTGCAGATGGCAGCCCAGCAAATCACAGAGGCAGCTGTAATAATCCCTTCCAAACTGAAGGAGAGCCCCCAAAATCACATGATACACTCGAAACACACCCCAGTAGTGTGGGTAACGTTGCAGTGTGGGCAGCCTTAACATTGGTATACTGTTTGGACAATGGTTTATCCTCAATGCCTACTTCCCATTAGTATTCAGGGGGTACTTGGTGGGCGAGAGCACAGACAGTAGAAAAAGAATAGATGTTTAAAGCGGGCAGAGAGAAACTCCAGGAAGCTTTCTGGAAGTGTATACTGCAATAGGCACCCCCTTCCCCACCCTGTGGGTGGCCAGCCATGCGCTGGGGGTCAGGCAAGGCCAGTCACATCACGTGTGACTGTGCTGCCACCCCCAGGACATGCCCCAGCACCTAGAAATAATTCCTGTAAATGGTGTTTGATTCTTAGTATTTGCTCAAGACACCAGCTACTTAGCTAACTCACTTTTTCCAGGTAACCATCTGAATACATTTTCTTTTTTAATCTTTATAGAGTAACTCTTAGTTCATGGGACACAAAGTCTAAAAAGCCATGTAACTGTACCAAATCCCAGTGTCTGAAATTGTAAGTAACCACAAATCCTTCGTTATTAAATATGCAATAAGGTTGTTTAGCAGTCAGTAAGCGGAGCACAGTGTAGGCAAACGAGACCAGTTTAGCAGGGTGCAGGCCGTAGTTAATTCTCAAGGCTGCACCTTGACATTCCTTGTAAACCAGAAAGAGCAAAAGCCAAGCTTTCGGCAGGAACCTGGTTTAGATCTGATGGTGTTATCTTGACCTATTGATTTTAAAAAGTGGCACTTCCCACACCTCAAGGGATACAATTTTCTTGATTTTGGTTTACATTCTCTAATCTAGTCCCTCTGGCAGTGCTAAACGTGTCATCATTGTTGAGGATTAACTGTAGCATTTTCACACCCTGTTTTATAAAAGTCTGATGCATTGGTTTGCAATTAGCTTTTGCTCTCCTGGGACACAATACCTGACATCCACAGCTTAAAGGAGGAGAAGGGATTCAGTACATGGTTGGCTGGCTCCAGAGCAGAAGCATTGTGACAGACGGTGTGGTGAAGTGAAGCTGACTAGCTGAGAAGCAGGGCAGGGAAACAGTGCCGAAGAGGAAGGGACCCGGCACTGAATGTAGAACCCAAGGTCCTGCCTTTGTGACCCACCCAAACGTACACGGAGGGAGTGAGTAGATCCCAAGCCCAATGAAATTGATATTCCACCCTGACCACCTCATCCCGCCCCTTGTCAGTTTCCTGTCCAAACATGTTTTCTTAGACAATGCTTAACCTCTAAATAAAGGCGATGTGAGTACATAGTTCCACCTACCATATAAGACAGCTATCCTGCGCACAACCAGAAAGGCAGCAGCTCCTTCCCCAGGGTCTCTGCAGCTTCAGCCTTTCTCAAAGGTCCAAGCCCAGTCTCTTCTGAAACTCAGAGGAAACTCAGAGCTGTGAACCTCTGAAAAAAAAAATAAAATAAAACTAGTTATATAATCTCATGCTGCAATGGCATGGGGTAAATAATCCCATTCCAAAAGGACAGGATGGGGGATAGAAAAAATCAGGCCAAAGCAAGACTTAAACCCATCTGGGCAAACATTAAGCTCTATATCTTTGTATCTGGACTCTGGGACACACAATGGTAAAATATGGGTTCCAAAGGGCTTGAGCAGACCCATCCCTGTGACTTTGCCCATTGAAGTCCACATGGTTTCCTCTTGAGTTGGCTTTGCTCTTAG